TTCACCTCCCAGATGGTACCTTGTGTTCAGCCTTCTGCTCCATTTGCCTAATTTTATTACTTTACACTTTCCTGAGTTGAACTTTAGTAGCCATTTTCTAGACTGTTCGTCCAGTTTGTCCAGGTCGTCCTGTATACGTAGTCTTTGTCTATCTTCATCTGAATTGATTCTTCTCATATTTTTGCATCAGCAAACATTGAGAGGAACGCATCTATACCATCTGGAAGGTCATTTACATATATTAGAAACAGGATGGGTCCAAGTACTGAGCCCTGTGGGACTCCGCTGGTAACATCTCGCCACTCTGATGTCTCCCCCCTCCCTCACTGTTACTCGCCGTTTCCTGCTAGTGTGGTCGAGAGTGGGTGTGGGTGTACAGGAAAGTTCTTATCTTGTCTTTTATTAAAATTAAAGGTTGGAAGGATTTGAAAAAATATTTGAAGTAATTACATTAGTACGATTATTATTACGTGTTCTTATCCTTCCAATCTTTAAACAACCTAATTACCAAATGCAAGTATTCTGAGGGCATACCCTCCCTACATCTGTGTTGACGAGTGTTCTTCGGGTCAACACCTCACACGCTCCCTGGAGTACGGACAGCATGGAGCATGGTTGCGTGGTGGTCTCCGGGTCAACACCTCACACGCTCCCTGGAGTACGGACAGCATGGAGCATGGTTGCGTGGTGGTCTCCGGGTCAACACCTCACACGCTCCCTGGAGTACGGACAGCATGGAGCATGGTTGCGTGGTGGTCTCCGGGTCAACACCTCACACGCTCCCTGGAGTACGGACAGCATGCTGTACCCTCATACCTCACACGCCATGCAAGACGCCAGCTCTAACACACAGCTGGTACATGGAACACGCCCACGCACCAGCTTCATCCAGCATATCCCTATTAAGCTGATGCATCTTGCCTTAATGCTGGGCTGTGTCACGGTATGAGCCAAGATAAGTAGAGCCGTTGCAAATAGAGTTCAACCTCATATTATTACCGTGGCGTTCCGATACCTAAAAGTTCTCCCAACCTTACTTTTTGGTTATTGTGCAATTTTTTGTTTTGCGGGGAAATTCCTGCATGGGCCCTAAGCCTCTGGCTGGTTCACTAAGTGTTGCTTGTTTCTGTTTTACTTAGGCGGAGTATGAGTATTTATCACTCGTATGGTCGCTTCAGTAAGATTCCCCATGTGTTTAACGTCGTCTTCTCTGTTGAATCTAAGTTGAAATCTTATTTGGTTTGTAACTGTGCACCGTGTTAGATAATGTTCCAGAGGTCTGTTGTGTGTGTAACTGTGCACTGTGTTAGATAATGTTCCAGAGGTCTGTTGTGTGTGTAACTGTGCACTGTGTTAGATAATGTTCCAGTAGTCGGGCATTTCTCCACAGTGCTGACATTTCCTCTCATCTTCAGGAACCTGTAAGCCTATTTCCCATGCACATGGGTATCCAAGCCTGATGCGATGAAAGTGTACTTCTGTTGTTCTACTGCTCCCTTTCATCAAACTAAGTGGTTCGTAGTTGGTTGAATTCTTGTACCAACCCGCAGATCCTGATGTTGCAACTGCTGTGCAATTGTTTTATATTGATTAAGAATTCAATTTATATTTTTAATGGTAAGTCAATTCTTTTGACAGCCATGTGGGTAGTACAGTGGTATTTTAATTTCGGTAAGACCTTCATGTTTCTATGAATTATTCGTAGATATATTGCCTCTATGAATTATCTGTAGATAGAATTATCCTTAACATTTCAAGTTTCTATATTTTACCATTTTATGTTCCAGGTTTTCGATGGTAAACATCATGGAAGAAAGGAACTAAATTACTTGTAGTTTCTTATAAAACGGGTAATATTTGAATTATTAATCTAATGAGAAATTGGCAAATATTTCTTATATAAATCATAGCAATTGCTGTAATTTATTTCTTATAGGTCGGAAAGTGAGCCAAATTGAGCCCTTTAGTAACTCATCATAGATGTTAATATTGTTTCTAAAATGGCATATAATTTATCCATTTATGACAATACATATACAGAGATATTATTTTCTTGGTACTGTGTGGGGGTCAGGGGGGTGGGGGGAGAGGGGGGCGGGAGAGGGGGAGTGAAGAAGCAGGAGAGTGAGAGTGGGTGAGGGCATGAGAGAGGGAGTGTGGGAGAGCAAGGTAGTGGTAATGAACCCAGTAGACGACCGTTTTGGTTTGTGCCAGGTCGTCTTCTGGCTTCATGAGCATGAGGCCAGAAGATGGGCACCCCGGGGCCCAATGTGAGGCCCCGCCCCCACCGTGCGAGGCGGGGCTCCCCCACCGTGCGAGGCGGGGCTCCCCCACCGTGCGAGGCGGGGCTCCCCCACCGTGCGAGGCGGGGCTCCCCCACCGTGCGAGGCGGGGCTCCCCCACCGTGCGAGGCGGGGCTCCCCCACCGTGCGAGGCGGGGCCCCCCCACCGTGCGAGGCGGGGCCCCCCCACCGTGCGAGGCGGGGCCCCCCCACCGTGCGAGGCGGGGCCCCCCCACCGTGCGAGGCGGGGCCCCCCCACCGTGCGAGGCGGGGCCCCCCCACCGTGCGAGGCGGGGCCCCCCCACCGTGCGAGGCGGGGCCCCCCCACCGTGCGAGGCGGGGCCCCCCCACCGTGCGAGGCGGGGCCCCCCCACCGTGCGAGGCGGGGCCCCCCCACCGTGCGAGGCGGGGCCCCCCCACCGTGCGAGGCGGGGCCCCCCCACCGTGCGAGGCGGGGCCCCCCCACCGTGCGAGGCGGGGCCCCCCCACCGTGCGAGGCGGGGCCCCCCCACCGTGCGAGGCGGGGCCCCCCCACCGTGCGAGGCGGGGCCCCCCCACCGTGCGAGGCGGGGCCCCCCCACCGTGCGAGGCGGGGCCCCCCCACCGTGCGAGGCGGGGCCCCCCCGCCGTGCGAGGCGGGGCTCCCCCGCCGTGCGAGGCGGGGCTCCCCCGCCGTGCGAGGCGGGGCTCCCCCGCCGTGTGAGGCGGGGCTCCCCCGCCGTGCGAGGCGGGGCTCCCCCGCCGTGCGAGGCGGGGCTCCCCCGCCGTGCGAGGCGGGGCTCCCCCGCCGTGCGAGGCGGGGCTCCCCCGCCGTGCGAGGCGGGGCTCCCCCGCCGTGCGAGGCGGGGCTCCCCCGCCGTGCGAGGCGGGGCTCCCCCACCGTGCGAGGCGGGGCTCCCCCACCGTGCGAGGCGGGGCTCCCCCACCGTGCGAGGCGGGGCTCCCCCACCGTGCGAGGCGGGGCTCCCCCACCGTGCGAGGCGGGGCTCCCCACTGAAGAACCATTCTTCAGGACTACTGAAGGATGAAGAACACAGTGATGAACATAATGGCCCACTGTGAAGGATGAAGAACACAGTGATGAACATAATGCACCACTGTGAAGGATGAAGAACACAGTGGTGAACATAATGCACCACTGTGAAGGATGAAGAACACAGTGGTGAACATAATGCACCACTGTGAAGGATGAAGAACACAGTGAACATAATGCACCACTGTGAAGAATGAAGAACACAGTGGTGAACATAATGCACCACTGTGAAGGATGAAGAACACAGTGGTGAACATAATGCACCACTGTGAAGGATGAAGAACACAGTGGTGAACATAATGCACCACTGTGAAGGATGAAGAACACAGTGGTGAACATAATGCACCACTGTGAAGGATGAAGAACACAGTGGTGAACATAATGCACCACTGTGAAGGATGAAGAACACAGTGGTGAACATAATGCACCACTGTGAAGAATGAAGAACACAGTGGTGAACATAATGCACCACTGAAGGATGAAGAACACAGTGGTGAACATAATGCACCACTGTGAAGGATGAAGAACACAGTGGTGGACATAATGCACCACTGTGAAGGATGAAGAACACAGTAGTGAACATAATGGCCCACTGTGAAGGATGAAGAACACAGTGGTGAACATAATGGCCCACTGTGAAGGATGAAGAACACAGTGGTGAACATAATGGCCCACTGTGAAGGATGAAGAACACAGTGGTGAACATAATGCACCACTGTGAAGGATGAAGAACACAGTGGTGAACATAATGCACCACTGTGAAGGATGAAGAACACAGTGGTGAACATAATGCACCACTGTGAAGGATGAAGAACACAGTGGTGAACATAATGCACCACTGTGAAGGATGAAGAACACAGTGGTGAACATAATGGCCCACTGTGAAGGATGAAGAACACAGTGGTGAACATAATGGCCCACTGTGAAGGATGAAGAACACAGTGGTGAACATAATGGCCCACTGTGAAGGATGAAGAACACAGTGGTGAACATAATGGCCCACTGTGAAGGATGAAGAACACAGTGGTGAACATAATGGCCCACTGTGAAGGATGAAGAACACAGTGGTGAACATAATGCACCACTGTGAAGGATGAAGAACACAGTGGTGAACATAATGCACCACTGTGAAGGATGAAGAACACAGTGGTGAACATAATGGCCCACTGTGAAGGATGAAGAACACAGTGGTGAACATAATGCACCACTGTGAAGGATGAAGAACACAGTGGTGAACATAATGGCCCACTGTGAAGGATGAAGAACACAGTGGTGAACATAATGGCCCACTGTGAAGGATGAAGAACACAGTGGTGAACATAATGGCCCACTGTGAAGAATGAAGAACACAGTGGTGAACATAATGGCCCACTGTGAAGAATGAAGAACACAGTGGTGAACATAATGGCCCACTGTGAAGGATGAAGAACACAGTGGTGAACATAATGGCCCACTGTGAAGGATGAAGAACACAGTGGTGAACATAATGGCCCACTGTGAAGGATGAAGAACACAGTGGTGAACATAATGGCCCACTGTGAAGGATGAAGAACACAGTGGTGAACATAATGCACCACTGTGAAGGATGAAGAACACAGTGGTGAACATAATGGCCCACTGTGAAGGATGAAGAAGCAATAATACTATTAAATAACATTTCTAGAATAACTTTTAAATTAAACATATTTTTGTTTGATGGAAAAATATATTTTTTCAAGTAGCAAATTATAATGTTACTTTTCAAATACAGTAATGCCATTAATTTAGGATATACTGTACATACACAAATAACTTCACTCTGAGTAATACACATCTTAAACATTATGAAATAATACTTTGGCCTTCCACTTATCACACGATCTTTTAAGGTGTAATAAACACACTCATAATGGCTTCAGTTCAAAGAAACTTGTGCGTTATATAAAGAGTTTCGAGGTGACACACAATCACACACTCTTGTCTTCTCCGCTCTCACACTTTTGTGGCTGCTTGAAAGGCACTCTAAAGGGCTTACGAACACCAAGAGTGGCCGGGGACGGAAGAGTACGCAGAGGAGACGGCATCCCATACTGTCCTAACGTCTTAAGTTTACCGCGCACTTCTCGACTCCGTTGACACGCTCGAACAAGTTTAGGATCAGTAACAGTCTCGCTGCTATTGTTGAGGAGACTAGCGTCGTTTGTTGCAGCGCCACTTTCTAATTTGCAAACATTAGTACCATCTTGAAGGCACGGCTCAACTTCCACAACTTGAGTCTGGCCTCGTACAGACACCAGGTCGGCGGGGAACGCACGTCTATCAAACTGTCCGTCTAACTTCATATCCCCTTCCTGCAACAGGTTCTTCATGTTCTGTAAACACATGAATTAATCATTACTATTAATCTGTATTATTTGCTAGGTAACAATATACAAACTTGTATACACGAGTCTCCTGCCACCCCACACTAACACTATAATATGGAAGACTCCAGCACGTGGGGCAGTATGTTAGTTTATACTTACATCTCCCTGACCTTCCTGACCTCCCCTTTACCTCCCTGACCTTCCTGACCTCCACCCTTCACCTCCCTGACCTTCCTGACCTCCCCTTTACCTCCCTGACCTTCCTGACCTCCACCCTTCACCTCCCTGACCTTCCTGACCTCCCCTTTACCTCCCTGACCTTCCTGACCTCCACCCTTCACCTCCCTGACCTTCCTGACCTCCACCCTTCACCTCCTTGACCTTCCTGACCTCGACCTTCCTGACCTCCACCCTTCACCTCCCTGACCTTCCTGACCTCCACCCTTCACCTCCTTGACCTTCCTGACCTCGACCTTCCTGACCTCCACCCTTCACCTCCCTGACCTCCACCCTTCACCTCCTTGACCTTCCTGACCTCCACCTCCCTGACCTTCCTGACCTCCACCCTTCACCTCCCTGACCTCCACCCTTCACCTCCTTGACCTTCCTGACCTCCACCTCCCTGACCTTCCTGACCTCCCCTTTACCTCCCTGACCTTCCTGACCTCCACCCTTCACCTCCCTGACCTTCCTGACCTTCCTGACCTCCACCCTTCACCTCCTTGACCTTCCTGACCTCGACCTTCCTGACCTCCACCCTTCACCTCCCTGACCTTCCTGACCTCCACCCTTCACCTCCTTGACCTTCCTGACCTCCCCTTTACCTCCCTGACCTTCCTGACCTCCACCCTTCACCTCCCTGACCTTCCTGACCTCCACCCTTCACCTCCTTGACCTTCCTGACCTCCACCTCCCTGACCTCCACCCTTCACCTCCCTGACCTTCCTGACCTCCACCCTTCACCTCCCTGACCTTCCTGACCTCCACCCTTCACCTCCTTGACCTTCCTGACCTCCACCTCCCTGACCTTCCTGACCTCCCCTTTACCTCCCTGACCTTCCTGACCTCCACCCTTCACCTCCCTGACCTCCACCCTTCACCTTCCTGACCTCCACCCTTCACCTCCTTGACCTTCCTGACCTCCACCTCCCTGACCTCCCCTTTACCTTCCTGACCTCCACCCTTCACCTCCCTGACCTTCCTGACCTCCACCTCCCTGACCTCCACCCGCCCTTTAACCTTTACTTAAAACTTTCAACCGAGTTTGTTTTTGTGACATTAATTGATAACTCTTCCCGAGATTTGCAAATCCAATCTTCAAATCCGTGCTTACATTCTTATTTTCTAAGTTTATGCTTTTTCCAGAATGACTTCATTGTTTTGTGTTGCATCACAGGGAAGCATTAATATAATACCAGTGAATGGTCCCTGATGCATCATATATAGCAATAATCAGTTACAAAACAAAACGGTTGAAGTGAGATATTCTTTATCAACACATTGATAAAACATGAAAAAAACAAAAGAAATATAAGTACGGTATAGTTTGTACAGATAATTTCATTTAGTTATTATGTTATTTAAAGAAACTTTGGTGCATGAGATTATGTAGTGTGGTCTTGCCTTAATACTCTCCTTGAGATGGGTAACAGCTTCATGTAGATAGGCACTTCGAGGTGCCGTGGTGATGGTCGTCAGTTCTGTAATGTGGACACAACCAAACCTTCCTCCTGTGTGTCCCCGCCAGCTACCGTTCAATACACATACAACAGAACATATTTTCACAATATCTTCTACTCCACATTCCTGTTAATAAAAACGAGTCTTAATAAGAAAACCAGTCTTTAAGTTTGATATCTTTAAACGGTAAAACAAATTGCCTAAGTTTAGAGAATTTGATCAAGTTAAGAAACACTTGCAATAATTACCTTGACACCACCCCAAAACTTGAGAGCAACAATGTTAAGATGGTGATCAACAATATGGACTATCTGTGATCCCTTGTCCAGCAGGCCAACCCTCAACACCACTCCAACAACATCTACTTCCTTCCACATTGGCTCAAACTCTCCTGACGACATTAGACACAGAGGAGTTACGTGGCGCTCAAACTCTGTGAAACTATTCGGCGGATGCTGTGTATCGCGCTCCCATCTTGTCTGTCGAGTTGCTGTCAACTGGACACTACCATTTCTGTTAAAATAAAATGCAAGAGAATTAACTTCTTTATATTATATAACAATCATTAGAGAACACACACACACACAATACGGAAGACTGGTGAAGCTGAGGCAAGGTGTGCAGAGATGACATGAAGAGCAGCAAATAAAGTAACACGACAAAATTACAAATAAATCAAATTGCAAAAAACTAGAAAATAAGAAGTGAAGTTGAAGCTGTTACATTACATTTTGAGGATTTAGATGAAAGTGTAAATGGACAGGCAACAGTGATAGGGCCGAGGTTGGAGGACAAATAATAATAATAATAATAATAATAATAATAATAATTATTATTATTATTATTAATATTAATAATAGTGTATTAGGCAACTGTCAACACCTGGTGCTTCATCTAGACAAAGCCAAGCCATGTATCTGGCAACACTGATTTGGTTTTCTATTTCAATGAATGGGTCTTACCTGATCCCTGCCGCCACGAGATAACACACACACACGTGACGGCCTTCTGTTAGGGTCTGTCTGAGGTCCTCCGAAGGTCTCCAGATCGTCACCAAGGCTCCGCCACCGTCGTGGTCAACCACACGCATCTAAATGATAAGCTCGAGATTAATTTCCTAGTACCTGCTAACATGCAAAGGAAATATTACAATACCTATATTTTCTATACTGTACCCAATTAAGAGACCACGCCTCCACAAATGACATTTTTTTAGCAGGAGAAAACTAAAATCTTTAGCAACATTATAAGCCATATGTTAAAAGAATAGCTGAAAATAAAAATATTGCCAATACAGTTGCCTTTTCCCCATCCCTCTGGATGTGTGTTCTGTCTCAGGTGTGGAGCCCAGCTCCCTCCTGGCCCTGGACATGGGCTCCCCTCACCTGTATCTCAGGTGTGGAGCCCAGCTCCCTCCTGGCCCTGGACATGGGCTCCCCTCACCTGTATCTCAGGTGTGGAGCCCAGCTCCCTCCTGGCCCTGGACATGAGCTCCCCTCACCTGTATCTCAGGTGTGGAGCCCAGCTCCCTCCTGGCCCTGGACATGGGCTCCCCTCACCTGTAATGATGGTTCACAGTGCCAAATTAGTTTACAGTTAATGATAGTCCAAATAAACAACTGCTGACTAAAATGTGAACACCCCAGTAAAGACAGTGTAAACAAACTGCAGGTAATGATAAACACACCACAGGTAATGATAAACACACCACAGGCAATGATAAACACACCACAGGTAATGATAAACACACCACAGGTAATGATAAACACACCACAGGTAATGATAAACACATCACAGGTAATGATAAACACACCACAGGTAATGATAAACACACCACAGGTAATGATAAACACACCACAGGTGTGTTTATCAGGTAATGATAAACACACCACAAGTAAAGTGTAAACTACAGATAACATAAACAAGGTGGAGTGAACATAATGGTTGGTGGAGTGAACATAATGATACCTGGTTGATGGGGTTCTGGGAGTTCTTCTACTCCCCAAGCCCGGCCCGAGGCCAGGCTTGACTTGTGAGAATAAATCAGGCCTGTCCGGGAGTTGAACCAGGAACCTCTCCAACCCTAAGCGAGAATCATACCCCCAAACCAACAGGCCAACAATAACGGTTGCTGGAGTGAACACAATGGCTGCTGGAGTGAACACAATGGTTGGTGGAGTGAACATAATGGCTGCTGGAGTGAACATAATGGCTGCTGGAGTGAACATAATGGTTGGTGGAGTGAACATGATGGCTGCTGGAGTAAACACAATGGTTGGTGGAGTGAACATAATGGTTGGTGGAGGCACACAAGAGACACTCATATACTACACCCACCTTTAATAATGGCGTTGCTTCATAAATAACTTTATGTGATGCCATCCTGCGCTCAACTTCACGATTGATGTTTCTCCTCCTGTCTTCTGCTTGATGCTGCTGCCATGATCTTGCCAGTTCCACCTGCTGGCGACTTAGTAAACCCTGCAATACCAGCATGTACCCACCCACATTTGTCAAATACATACATTTACATATTAATTAAATATATATATATATTTAATATGCGAACAAGCCAGAATGGTCCCCAAGCCAACATGCAACTGAAAACTCCACACACCAGAAGGATTTGAACCCAGACAGCTTGGAGCACTATGCACCTTGGCGTACCTGGTTCCTTAACCACTCAACCACCGTGACTGTAAAAAAAGTCATTGGTAGCCGAGGCTATATCCCCAACGACCTGACAGTACTTGGTGGTAAGCTTGGGCATAGATATTTCATCGAATCACCTCACTTTGTGGGGCCACATGAGCAACATAAATGCCAACAAGCTTGACTGGTCCCCCAAGCCAATGTGCAACTGAAAACTCCACACCCCAGAAAGATTCGAACCCAGACAACCAGGAGCACTATGCACTATATGAAGTACAATATATGAATATGCACATATAGATACATATACACACAAACAAACAGAATTATAATTGACATAAATATACACCTACCTCTAAACTACTAGGGTCCTTAACCTGGTCCATGAGTTTGGCAATGTCTCGCCCCATTGTAAGGTTACGAATCTCCTCTTTAGTCATGGCCGGAACAGGTTGCATTTCTTGCTGGTTCTCTTTTGTCTCCTTGCTCAACTCCCTTTCTACTTCAGCCACCACCTAAAATGAATATGAGCATACTCAGTACAGTAATTGTAAAGGCACATTAATAGCAATAACATCCACACAGTATTCAATATATGCATATAATATCTATACGTGGTTTTCCACTTTCATGGGGAGAGGGAGGAGTTAACCTAATAAAATGTGTGTAGAGTGAAATGCAATGCCACTGTGTACAGCACCTCGGTACCTCTGACCAGCTTCAGCCACCGAAAATCTTGGGCCGCCCCAAATGTTAGGCTCTCAAGAATTTCTCGGCCAATTGGGGACCACGGGGCACCAAACCTGGGAGCTGCTGGGAATGCTGCCATATCATCACATACAATCAGATTCACATTAGGATACTTTTCATTACTTCACCACTTTAGATTTTCAAAGTACAGTATTCTCTCCACCTACTTTTGATTTCTTCCTCATTTACAACTGTTCACTGCAGTACTGTAATGGTCTTTAACATTCCCAGTTACCTGCCACACCAGTCCTCCCGCTCCACTTTCTTACAACTCCCAAAAGATCTTGGCGTTTCCCAAAATATTTTTCTTTAATTCTTTCTACCTCTCTCTCATTTTTGGTGCCCAATAATGTCCTCGTACACATTTTACTCTGCTCATACTCATTCGTCCAGTGTGTTATTCTTCAACCAGATTGTGCACCTCTGTTCTCCATTTTTATTCAAACATTTATTGCATAGATGCCCCATGTCATTACAATTTAGTTGTTCATATTCTCTTACCACATGATCACTTTCAATATACAGTACTGTCTACTAAATTACAAAAAAAGGCAAATAACAACACCAGCATTGAATGTAATGAAAATCATCTTTGTGGGGCATCCTTGGAGACTTCCTGTTCCCAGCAGGGTGGTCAGCGGCCACCTGGCGGCACGCATCTGTATGTTACTAGGCTAATGAACCACTCACTAGTACACTGCACGCTCTCATTTTGTGTTATGTTCACATTGCTTTTGTTTGTATTGTCTCACTCAACCTTTCTGGCAGCCTTTTCTTAGTCCGAGTGATCTCACACTCGGCTCCATGTGCCTCTCTAGAAGGGGCCAGGTTTTTACCGCTGGTCCCCGGCAGGCTTACAGTGACTCGGAAGGGGCCAGTGTGGACCCAAGTGACTCGAGCCGTTCAGGTTGCCAGCAACAGGAAGCCTCCATAAGATACCTCCCAGAAAACGTCATGGCCTTTAAATTATTTACACTACAAACCACTATGCATGAAAACAGGTGCTCATACCTTATGCATTAAGGCTTCCTTTTCCTGTTGTGTTTCCTTTAGTATTCTCATGTGTGCCTTTTCACCTCTAAACATAGGTCTACCATTGGAACGCTCAAAATACACCAGAGGATACACCCGGGCCAGGGTTAAATTCATCCGTCCTACAAGACCACCATCACTTAAGGTTGCTCCAATAAGAGTATGCATTGGACCCTTTTGAGGGACAAGACCAAGGCACGACCACCAGCGTGCTCTTCTAGTCATGTTTGTATGAAGACGAAGTTGAAGTGTGCTTGGTGCCTGCTCATTGAAGAATACAAATATTAAACTATTATAACAGTAAAAGCAAGCATTGAATGTAATGAAACGACATTTTCTGAGCGAGTGCCAGAGGCTCCCTGGATCTATCGGACTGACATGTGATATATTTGTCTAGGGCATTATTCACTGGAGTTCAGCCTACTGGGGACCACAAGCCAGAACCTGGCCCCCCTCAGAGTGGCACAGGGAAGCAATGGCCTCTGGAAAACCCTCTTGTGGTTGGGGATATTCCATGTCTGCCATCGACTGGGGTTAGGCACCCAGAAAGGTAGGTGTAACAAAAACCCCACTTGGTAAGAAAATTGCAACAGAAGATCAAACAGGAAGGCAGAATTTCCCCAACTCTAAAGCAAACAAGCAAACGTCATACATCACCACCGCGCCGCTTGTCCGTGCAGCTCTCCCCTCCCCAGGAGGGGGAGGGTGAAGCCCCGGACCCCCGCGCCAGCTACTCACACCCAAGTTCGGAGGCTGAGCATCAAAAGCAAAACAAAACCGCCGACCAGAGGGAGGGAAGGTGCCAGGACACCTCCGGGGCTCACCCAGAAAATGTCGTTTCATTACATTCAACGCTAGTTTTCTGTGGGGAACCCATTCGGCTCCCTCGAATTACAGAACCCAAGAGAAGTAAAAGCGGAACATACCCGGGAGGAGGCCAAACGTGCTCCTCAACTCAATGTCGAGACAACTGGCTGCAACCTGCGACCCAAAGCCACACACAAACGAGCAGGACCAGGAATGTTGACCAAATAACAGGCGGCCAGGACCCTGTTTGACCTCCAAAATCCCCGTGCCTAAATGTCAGCCCAAGACACGTTGCCGAAGACGGTAGCCAAAGCAGTAAACTTACGAACGTCATGGGCATGAGGATAGACCGCAGGCTGGCTAGACTTAATAACACTGCAGACAACCTGGGAGTCCTGAGCCCTGGAATAGAGAATGAGGAAAACTGGATCAACCCAAAGCACCTCCCCTCTCAAAAGAACAGAACAACCATCAAACAAAGGAACAGAACAACCTTCAAACTCGCACTAGGTGAGCTAGAACCTGGAACACACATCCATCGGTCCACCTAGTCCCGACAGGGTTTTCCAGGGCCCGTAGGCTGACTGCTACGGGAAGCCCAGGCAAAGTGCTGCAAAGCCGGTTAAAACCAAGAACTAACAAAGGGGGATGAGCTAAACACAGAAATCCCTGCAATGTGTACAATCATGGGAGGGGGGCCTATAGGAGGGCCACCAAACTATCATAAGTGGACCAATAGTCAAAAATGCAAACCCCCTCTAAGCAAAGAAAATAAAAACAAAAGAAACCCCCCACAAAAGTACAACGTCTCCAGAAGGAACGGGAACACATCCACCACATAGGTAGGCAAGCTGCACAGCACCTTGCACCCCCAACCATCAACAATACCACTTCCTACCAAAGGCCAAACAAAGGCCATGAAACTCCAGCTGGCCCCCAAGGGGTCGGGAAAATGCCGAGCAGCAAGAACCCCTACGGAAGTGGAGCCCCAAAGGCACAGAGAACCCTAACACCCAGAGGTAGTACTTACAGGGCACTTAGGGAAGTCAGCCCTAAGTGCATGCAGCCCCAGTACATTGATGTTACACCTGGCCACCACCACCACAACACAGCAGGAAACATCACTAAGGCAAAACGCTGCCAAAAAATTGAGGTCAGAGTTGACAACCACCCCAGATTGCATCAGCCAACGAACTGGGGTGTGATTAGCCAGCGCGGGGGTCCAGGGGCCAGATTCACGAAGCAGTTACGCAAGCACTTACGAACCTGTACATCTTTTCTCAACCTTTGGCGGCTTTGTTTACAATTATTAAACAGTTAATGAGCTCCGAAGCACCAGGAGGCTGTTTATAACGATAACAACAGTTGATTTGGGAAGTTTTCAAGCTTGTAAACTGTTTAATAAATGTAACCAAAGCCTTCAAAGATTGAGGAAAGATGTTCACGTTTGTAAGTACTTGCGTAACTGCTTCGTGACTCTGGCCCCAGGGCTCCACCCTCCCACTCCCGGGGAGAGGAGGGCTGTGTGGACAAGTGGTGCAGCGGCAGTGTATGACTTTTGCTTGTTTCCTTGAGAGTCTGGGAGTTCTGCCTCCCTCTTCGGTCTTCAGTTGCAATTTTCTTACCAAGTGGGGTTTCTTTTGTAATGCCTACCTTTCTGGGTGCCTAACCTCAGTCCATGGCAAAGAAGGAATACCCCCAACCACAGGGTTTTTTTTCCAGAGGCCATTGCTCCCTATGCCACTTTGAGGGGGGCCAGGTTCTGGCTTGTGGTCCCCAGTAGGCTGAACTCCATTGACTATTGCCCTAGACTAATATATTACATGTCAGTCCAATAGCTCCAGGGAGCCGAAGGGGCTCCCCACAGAAAATGTTTCATTTTCACACATCTGAAAATAATTACAATACAGTATGAGAAAACTGATGGATATTCTCCTTAAATATTAAATGTGTCCATTTCATTAACTAGTTCCTCAATTTTTACTGTAATTTATGGTAAACACAAAACCTAGAAGAAAAATGTAACATTCGACGTACAACTTAACGCAAGACCTCTAATGATGCTGTGATTGATTCGTTACACTAATGCAGAGACCCATCTATACTTGATAATATACTGCAAAGTATATGACAGAACATGCTACAACTGCAATAAATCATATTTGAAAGCAACATATTCTCTACATGCCAGCATGTGAACATCATAGAAACTTATTCTAATGGAACACACGTCAACAGAACACCAGATTCACCTAAAGCACTCGGTTCTATTTCCAAGATCAATTGCAACGGATGTCACTGTGATAGACTGAAGTGTGTTTGCTTGACTGGGCTCTACTGAAGCATTCATTATGAAAAATTAACTAAACTAGATGTATTTTGATGGTAGACAATCAAGAAAGGCATTTCCTGCCAGTTTATTTAAGAATACAAAATGGCACACCTGGGTACAATAATTACAGCTACAATGGAAACGATAAGCATAATGAATTCAAGAAGAATAATGAAGAGAGAATAATAAGTCTAGGAAGACCACTGTATAAATGCCTACTGTTAAAATGTACTTGATGGGTTTTCCTGTAGATACCTAAATATGGAACTTAAGTAATAACAAGTTTATGCTTACTGTACCTCCAATGGATGACAGGCCTCCGATGATCCCATTAATTCTGCTCCGTGGATGACCAGCTTGGTGCCAATCTCTACTCTGCCCTCACGTAACAGGCGAGACATTGCATCGTCAACAACGGCACCTGCAACAAAGACAGCCGTGTGACACAATGCTGACTGATAGTACTGTACAATATTATCATTTCTGGGGTGGCAGCTCAATAGCTCCCCAAAGCTGGGTTCCAAACAGGCCACTACTAACTCACCGGGCATCTTATCGTGATCGCACAGCCAATCAGAAGCACGGACCACACTCCTGCCCCCTAACAAGAGGCAGGGAACCTCGGGCAGTCATAAGACATAAACATACTAGAGCAAATATTATAAACAAAAGGAGGTCACAAAAATTTGAACACCAATAGAGAGATTAATAATAATATTAATTAATAATAATTCATTGTCGGGGGACAGGAAGCCAGGGTGTATTCATACATGGTAGACTACCTACTCAGTGCTAGGTAAACAGAGGCATTAGGTGAAAGGAAACATGCCCAACCATTTCTGTCCCGCCAGGGATTCGAACCCAGAAATCTCAATTATGCATCGAGAACAAACCCAACTATACTACCGGGATCCTCATGGTAGTTTGGTACGGTATTAACAAATGAAATTCAAAAGTGAAATGCAACTAAAAATTCCATAAATTCCTGAAACACCACCACCTCTGCTTCCTCATCCTGCCACCAGAATGCATTGCCATTCAACTAGGGATGTGGTGAGGTTATCCCTCTCACGGTCACCACACAAAGACAAGCCAGGAACAGAGCCCAACGCCACACTTGACCCACAAAGCCAAGTAAGCTGGGAAAGAGAGTGCACGCCACCCACAGAGGACTCTTGACTTACACACATGCAATAATCCCCACATGATGAATGGGGAACAGCCAGGGTGGGTAGAGCTGAAGGTTTTGCTATGCTGCTTGACTGTGGTTCACTTGAACGAGGTAGTCAGATTATGGTCTTAACTCCCAGTGGGTCAAACAAGCTTCAAGAGCCATGTGGTTGTCAATACTGCACCTTAAGCTCATGTGAGCTACCAAAGGGTTCTCCACACAAAGCACATCAAGTCTACTGAAACCACTTTTAGGATAGCTCCTTGAGTAGTTCTTGGTTTCAGAATGATGAATTCTTCCCAAAGTCCTCATTCTCGGGCTTATGTTGGAGAATGTGATCATGCTTTACCCAAGTGACTCAGGCCACCACCTAGTGGCGATTGTGGAGTTGGTTGGCGAGTCCTTTACTTGCTACAGTGTTGTTTGGTAATTTGATTATTTCCAAAGATTTCTCTGAGGAAGGTTGAATGTTTAGTGACTTTCTTTGATCTCTATATGCTTCCAGCCCAGAGAGTGGTACTTTATCCCTCAGTAATATAACTTACCAATGCTGTACCAGCCATCGGTGAGCTCGAGGAGATCTTTCTGTCCGCTGGGGCTCACTGGTTTCATCTCATTGCTTGCAACATCAGATGTTCCATGCTTCACAGTCTGTAAAGGAATTTGAATATAGTACAGAACTGTTTAGCAATCCCACTTGATTGTTCCCTAAAGCAAAGAAGCTACTACAGTGAGGCCTCGATTTACGATGGCAATCCGTTCCCAGAGACGCATCGTAAGTCAAAATATCGTAAGTCGAAATAATTTTTCCCATAAGAAATAAAGGGAATTGAATTTATCCGTTCCACACCCTCAAAAATATTAACTTAAAAATACATTTTATACTGAAAACAATTTTTTTCTCACACTACAATAGAGTACATATATTTATCTTACCTTTATGGAGGACTCTTGATGGCGTATGGAAGATGGTGAGGAGGGGGGGAGGAGAAGAGGTGTTACTGTTTGGAAGGAGAGTCCCCTTCCATTATAACATCAGGCAGTGATGACTTTTCCGGGGTTCACACACTGGCACGTTTTGCCTGCATACCACTAGGACCTGCTTCTGGCTCACTGCTTGATTTTCTCACTAGAAATCAATCCACTGAAGATTGTTTTTCCCTTCTTTGCAACACTTGTCTGTAGTGAGGCATCACATTGTCATTAAAAAGATCAATGCAACCGGCTGTTACAACTTTATCTGGGTGATTCTTTCCAGCAAAACTTAGCAGTTCTTCCCATACTGCACACATTTTCTTAATTAATGAAGAAGGGACATCTACTACTGCCTCCTCCTCCTCCTCTGAAGATGTGTTGTACTGCCTGGATAGATCAATAACACGAGTACCATTTTCATGTTTACGTATGAACTCTTGTTTTTCCTCTATGGTCGTTCAAATGACAGGATGACAAAGAAATTAGTGAAATCCTAAAAAAGCAGTATGAGGACATGTTTAGGACTCCAATAAACAACATGAAGGTGGAAGATCCAGACAATTTCTTTATGCGGGATATTCAAACCCCTGTAAATATAACTGATATAAACACGAGCGCACTAAATTTTGAAAAAGAAATTGAAAACATGCCCATGCACTCGGCCCCAGGTCCAGACTCATGGAATTCAATATTTATAAAGAAATGCAAAGTGCCGGTAGCACAGGCACTCAGTATAGTGTGGAGGAAGAGCTTGGACACGGGGGAGATACCAGATGCACTTAAAGTAGCAGACATAGCCCCTCTACACAAGGGAGGGAGCAAAGCATTGGCAAAAAATTATAGACCAGTTGCACTAACATCGCACATCATAAAAGTATTTGAGAGAGTGATTAGGAGTCAGGTCACCAATTTCATGGAGACCAATGACCTTCATAACCCAGGCCAACATGGATTTCGAGCGGGAAGATCGTGCCTCTCACAGCTACTTGAGCACTACGACAAAGTCACTGAGGCATTAGAAGAGAAACAGAATGCTGATGTGATATACACGGACTTCGCAAAGGCCTTCGATAAATGTGACCATGGCGTGATAGCACACAAAATGAAGTCAATGGGAATAACCGGTAAAGTAGGACGCTGGATACTCAGTTTTCTGTCAAACAGGACTCAGCGAGTAACTGTCAACCATATAAAATCTAGTCCAAGTGCAATGAAAAGCTCTGTACCTCAGGGTACAGTCCTTGCACCACTGCTTTTCCTTATTCTCATATCAGATATAGACAAAAATACAAGTCACAGCTTCGTATCATCCTTTGCAGATGACACAAAAATCAGTATGAAAATTACCTCGGCTGAGGACATTGAAAAACTTCAAGCTGATATTAATAAAGTTTTCGACTGGGCATCAGAAAATAACATGATGTTTAACAGTGATAAATTCCAGGTACTCAGGTACGGTAAAAATGAGGACCTTAAACATAATACAGAGTACAAAACACAATCAAATGTACCCATAGTAGGAAAACAGCATGTAAAGGATTTGGGAATAATAATGTCTGACGACCTAACGTTTAAGGAGCATAACCAAGCAAATATTGCGACAGCCAGAAAAATGATAGGATGGATTACGAGAAGTTCTTACATGTGTTTTCATATGTTGAACCTTACCACTGACTTTCTTGGGACCCATGACGTGATATATAATAATCAGTTTTATGTTCAAAAAGCAAAAAAATCACCACAAAAATGGAATTTCTTATAAGTTTGATCATCACTGAGCGGGCTGCTCTAGTAAACTGAAGCAGGTGGCCCCGTATGACCGGGAATCATGTGCTCGGTCGACCCGATCGTGTATCAACGAATAACGTTAGTTGACGACACTATCATAAGTCGAGTCACATTTTTCGATCAAATTTATATCGTAACTCAAAATTATCGTAAGTCGGGCCAATCTTAAGTCGAGGTGCCACTGTATTCACCTTCATGTAGGACCAATATTCAATATCCTACTCAACTTTGATTGAGATCAATAATCTGCAGCAACTTAGTGGAGTATTGTACTTTGCAAATTATTACGTTAAGTCACACTATTCTTATTTGGAACACTGGAGAATACTCAATTCGGCCAAGAAAGTGGATAGAAAAGTGCTTAACAAAGTCAAATGTCTTAGCAGGCAGAATATGGCAACACAGAGACAGCCAAGCTGTGCCATAGTTAAGTACCCCCTCTCTCCCCCCCCCTCAGTATCACTTGAGTACTACCAGCACAGTCTCGACCCCACAACAACACAGCCCCTCCACCTTAGTCTTCCTGGCCATTGTTGCTACCTTCACACTAGAACAATGGCTTTGTTTTGGTTCCATATACTTCATGTGTTTTGTGCCACCTGTCTTTTATATGTTTTGTAATGACATTGTTGTGCCAGTGTGTTAGGGTTATCTTCACTGTGGTAGCTGGCTTGTACCTCTCTTGCCGCACCAGTATCTTGTGTGTGGGGTTGGGGCTTCCTGCTCTGCAAACTGACTCCTCTCAGTGTTGAGAGGAGGGGAGGAGTAATATTACTCCTCCCCTCCTTGCTTCTCACACTTTGCTGTTATACCAGGTCACACCCGGCTCTTAGACCAGGTGTTACAAGGTCTTCCTTCATACTACTATTTGTAACAAAGACAAGAGAACGAAGGATAGGAAGACTGCACCATCTTACACCAAGTTCACACTAATACCACAACAGTAATAAAAATGATGTACAATACTACTGAAGACAGGTGATAATCTTGTTCCCGAGTATGAAAAACATAAATGTTACGAGATAAAACTAAGGACCCAAATCAATTTCATGTAGCAGTCGACCGCTTTGTTTACGAATGAAACCGACATTAATATATGCACACAAATCACAACAGATGACATAAGTTTTTCTTGAATATAGCATCTTTCACTTCCAATATTCAAAGAGAACTTCCTAGGAATGATTCACACTTCAAAAACCTAGTTTTGCAGGCAAAACATTAAACAGTTGTTGGTGTGCACAGTGTAGGAATATAAAGATGAATGTACATACACACACAAAACACACTTTACCATAATATTGACCACACAGAGGATCATTGTTTTTTGTGGAACGTCATCACGCTCTGTAATCTTCCTAAGCACTGGTCGTTCTGCACGGTCGATTTCTCGGTCATAACGGTACTTGAGTCTGGCAATGATGTTTTCTAGTGTCAGAGCTTGACTGTAACAAAACGAAAAGAATATTAATTTAATGCGAGACAAGTATTCTGTGCAGTCTATGATAAGAGCAATGAACATGCTAAAATGCCATTTTCTGGTAGGCATTCAGTAGCTTCCCAGAGTTTGTGTGCTAGGGTCACCAAACCTTAAGAGGTGCACCAGGCCTGTGACCCCCATGCTGACCTACCATGAGCTAGGGTCACCAAACCTTAAGAGGTGCACCAGGCCTGTGACCCCCATGCTGACCTACCATGAGCTAGGGTCACCAAACCTTAAGAGGTGCACCAGGCCTGTGACCCCCATGCTGACCTACCATGAGCTAGGGTCACCAAACCTTAAGAGGTGCACCAGGCCTGTGACCCCCATGCTGACCTACCATGAGCTAGGGTCACCAAACCTTAAGAGGTGCACCAGGCCTGTGACCCCCATGCTGACCTACCATGAGCTAGGGTCACCAAACCTTAAGAGGTGCACCAGGCCTGTGACCCCCATGCTGACCTACCATGAGCTACAACCTGAATCCTGCATGCTTCACAAGGTAATGACAACTTGAGGATCAGAGATCTTCTTGAAACCAAGAAAGTCCTACTAGACAGGGTTTGGTTAGTTGGATGATATATTGGTCATTTGTTTTCTTTCTGGGGGATCTTTTGCCATTTTGAGGACGCAACTCGCAATTTTCAACCAGACAGTGGTTTGTATCGATTCACCTGCCTTCCTGGGTGCCTTTCCTGGTAGATGGCAAATATGACAAACAGTACTTTAAATGTAAAGTGTTCATAGGCCATTGCTCCCTGCACCTCTCTGAGGGGGCCAGGTTCTGGCTCTGGTTCCCGGTAGTCAACAAGAACTGTACAACTGATGACCCCAACTGGACAAAGGAGGAGCTGGACAACAAACAAGAAGGGCCTCATAACTATCATGATAGATATTATAATAAGAATGATAAACATAGATCACGATCGTTGGTACTAGGTGACTTCTAGTTGAAATCCATAGACTGGGAGTCTTACGAAGCAAGAATGAAGGACTTTAGGACTGATAGATTCGTAAACCTCATCCTCAGACAGTCAGGTATCAACACGTTAAACGAGCTACGAGGATGAGGGGAAGGAGATGTTCCCTCCATGCTGGGATTGGATATTCACCAGGAAAGAGGAAGAGATATTTGACATTGAGTACCTTCCCCTCTTGGCCAAAAGTGACCATGTCCTTCTGGAAATACATTATGCAATCCATTATAATCTGGAAGAGAATAAGGAAAATGAAGCAGTTGAAAAACTTAATTTCAGGAGAGGACACTATGGGGGAACTTAGAAGTTCTTTAATGAATTTGATACCCAAATTCTACCATGTTTAGTAATATCAGATCTTAATGCTCAGTGGTTCCCAAGAAGCACTGGGGAACCTGATGCCAGAGTTCAGGTGCACATGGGAGTCAAGGGAAATGCTGAACATGTAGGAACCAGGTATGTCATTATAGTCCTTAATATACATGGTTATATTGGTCACATTCTCTTACGGGCAAGTGACGTCTCATCTGGACACCAGCACCAGAGCAGCCAGCTGCTTTATCTCAAAACAAATACATATTAACCTTAATATTTAGCAATTACTGCATCTACAAACATGACGGCGGTGACATTTCATAAACAAACTTCTCTTTGGTCCATGTTATCAGTGTTTCTGTGAGGTATTATTTATATTTTAAAATTTGATTTGAACCCTATTAACCTACATTAAATATCCAGTACCTGGCAATTTGACTCTACTACTGCACATAATATTATACAAACACGTCTCACCAATTAAGTAAGCGTCTTTCTAGTGCTGCAAGTTTCCACACAATCCATCGGTAATGATTGGTCAGCCAGCCAGGGGGAAGAAGTCCAGGCTGCACTCCTGGCATTGCCAAGAACCCTTCTTCTATCTGCTTCACGCCAATACATCCACAAACATCGGGAACGACTGAGCATTCATCGCCACAGGCCACACTGCTGCATCTGAAAGATATACAGTATTAACAATATATACATACATTCCATAATTAAAACTCAATACCTCATACTGTACCCTTGCCTCCACATTATGTCTACAATTTCTTACCATCAACACTACACAGAAGTAATGTACTTTATTACATCTCTCCCACACATTTATTCCAATATTCGCTTTTGTTCAGATCCTTGAAATTCTCTTAATGTACTTTTCAGTATCTCCCTGTCTTTCTTGGGAAGATCTGTCCGTTGAAAGTACATTACAGTCCTCAAACAATTCATAAGACCCGAGATCTTCAAGATATCTTTTCAAATAGTTTATGCAACTCAACAATTATTTTTCCAAAGAGTAATGATATGAAATTAATCTGACTGGAGAAATGTGGCGAGTGGAGCACAACAAGGTTCCATTTGGGGCCATCCCCTGGTCGACGACCGGGCCGCGGGGACGCTAAGCCCCGGACGCACCTCAAGGTAAGGTATCCCTCTTTGTCATATACATCAATGACAGAGATGAGAATATTACAAACCATATCATCAAAATTTACAGATAACACTAAGATGTATAGTAAAGTAGTAAGCAAAAATTACAATGAAGCCTTACAAAGAAATCTACATGAACTCCACAAATGCTCAGATGACCAGAAATACTTTTTTAATATTGAAAAATATAAGAGCTTGCAGTTAGAATATAACAACTATGGACTTCACAACAACCAAAGCAACAACACTACCATGTAGCAGACTGATGAAGAACAGTACCTGCGAGTCAGCATTCACCAGTCATTGAAAGTTGAATAACAAGTGGGAGCTGTAGTAAAAAAAAAGAAAAAAACAGCGTTGAATGTAATGAAACGTCATTTTCTGGGTGAGACCTGGAGGCTTCCTGGAGCTATCAGGCAAATGTGTGATACATTAGACCGGGACATTAGTCAATGGAGTTGAGCTTACCGGGGACCATGAGCTAGAACCTGGCTCCCTCAGAGAGGTGCAGGGAGCAATGGCCCTGGAAACCCCCCCCATGTGGTTGGGGATTTCCTTATCTGCCACTGACTGGGGTTAGGCACCCAGAAAGGTATTCATAACAAAAACCCAACATTGGTAAGAAAATTACAACTAAAACCCAAAAAGAGAGGCAGAACTCCCTCCAATCCCAAGGAAATAAGCAAACGTCACACTCGACTGGCGAGTCATTCGTCTACACAGCCATTCCCTCCCGCACCAGGTACCTAGAACTCTAGTTCGGAAGGTAATCATCAAACAACACAAAAAATGCCAATCGGAGGGAGGGAGGGCTAACAAGGGGTCCTCCGAGGTTCACCCAGAAAATGATGTTTCATGACATTCAATGCTGGTTTTCTGTGGGAAGTCTCTATGGCCCCTTGGAGCTACATAACCAAAGACAAGGAAAAGAGGGACTTACCTGGGAGGCAACTGTCACACATTCCTCTACGCAAAGTTGAGACAACTGGCTGCAGCCTGCAACCAAAAACAACACAGGAACACCCAGGAGCAGGAACGTTAACCAAATAACGGGCAGCCAGGACCCTGTTTGACCTTCAAAATCCCTGCACCCAAATATCAGGTTAAGACATGTTGCCAAACACAGCAGCCAAAGCAGCAAACTTCCTAATGTCATGGGTACAAGGATAGACCGCAGGCTGGCTAGACTTAATAACCCTGCGGACGATCTGGGAGACCCAAGCCCTGGAACAGGGAATGAGGGAAACTGGATCAACCCAAAGTGCCTTCCCAGCCACCGAACCCGAAGCGCACAGATAACGGTGAAGAGCCACAACCGGACACACAACACATGAGCACCCCCAACCTGACCAACCAAGCATCAATGAACCAAGGACCCCTCCGGAAAGCAGCCATCTCGTTCTTCGCCAGAAGAGAACCACCATACAAATGGTGATAAACCAGCGTCAAACAGACCAGATGTGAAGAGCGAAGGGGAAGACCGAACCAGCAGTGTACCAGACCGGTCCGACCTGCTGGAAGAGGCGGAGCCGCGGAAAATGCCCTGGGTTCGCACACAGAGCAAGCAGCGCCTGGAACCAAGGCTAGGCCAGCCACCAAGGGGCCACGAGGACTACTCTTCTTTGGTAGGACTCCAACTGAGCCAGAACCCGAAGAAACAGCTGGACTGGGGAAAAGAGGTACAGGCAATCCCTCCTCGACCAGTCCTGTCAAAAGGTGTCCACCGCGGCAGCCTTGCAGTCAGGGAAGGGTGCCACATAGATCAGGAGATGCAGAGACCAAGGAGACATGAAGTTCACTCCCAGGAGTCCGTACATCCGGCAGAGCCAACCGGAGGAGTTGGCAACGACAGGGGAATGACATTCCGTAGACGGGAATAAACCAAGACAGGACGTCCGCCAGGACATTGGATACTCCCCGGATATGAACCTCATGGAGAGCCAAACCCCGAGAAGCCAGCAGACGAGCCACTCGAAGTGACCAGCCCCAAAGAGGTAAGGACCGACGGGAACCCCTGTGGTTCAGGCAATGAACCACCGGAGAACAGTTCGAATGGAGGTGGATGGTAAAACCCCGAGTGATCCAAATCCTCCGAAGTGACAGCCAAACTGCTGAGTGTGTGGAGGGCACACCTGCCTGCCAACACACAAGGCGAGAGGCATAAAACAAGGACACCGCCTCCCGGAGGATAGGCGCAAACAGCTTAAGCAGTGCCGGCAAGGCCTTGGCCGCCGAAGTCAACGCGGCAGATGATGACCCGGCAGCCAACTCCTCCACATCTTCCACAAGCCAATCCGAGGACAACTAGAAAAGGGAAAAGAAGCGAAGAACTGAAGCCATTATGCCCGCGAACATGATGATCTTCCGTAGCCAAAGATGTTGAAACGGTAGGGACCTGGACATGCAACTGGAGCACACCAATCTCATGAGAAAGCACATGGGTGTACAAGCACTCATTAAGATGCTCAAGTGTGCCCCCCAAGTACACTTGCGACATCATAGGGAGCTCCCGCCACTCAAGACTGTGAGAACGACAGAACATACACCATGCCCCCAATGAAAAGAAAGGGCAGTCCACAAGCCAAGAAGACACTGGCACCTTGTAATGTATCCAATACGGCAAAGAAAGAAAGACCAGGTCGAGCACTGAGGCGGAAACTGGGTATGCAGGAGGTACGCATCTAGGGTTCTCCCAAACTGCCGCTGAGGAAATTTGAGAAGTCGAAAACCCAGGACGCAGCCGCGGAGCCCAAGGGAACCCTGAAATGAACCTGGACGGGGAGGAGCCGATATTATATCAAATTCGTACAAGGAAGGGGGGGGAAGGAGGAACAAAAACACCGAACCTTGCAACAGCAGACCCCACCCTGAAGGCACCAAAAGCCAGGTAAGGTCGAAACGGGCCTAAGCACTCCAGGCTGCCTCCCCCTTAGCACGAATCCATCCAATTAGGATCTGAGGCAGAGCCATCCTCAATGCCCTCCCCCCCTTGAAGAAAAGGCAGAGTCCAAGGAAAAAGCATCCAAGAAAGGGACCTGCTGGAAGGACCCAGAAGCCTCGGTGGGAGGAACTGTCTCGAATGCCTCCATCCCTGCCTTGAATGGGGCAACCCTTGGAGCTGCCTGAGCCTCATTCCCAGCTAAACTCTGTTCCGACCCTGAAACCTCAGAATTTGGGAGCCAGAAGCAGGGCAAGGGGGGGGGGGGGGAAGGAGAATGGTGAACCACACCATCAAGGGAAGGATGAAGGAGCATGGACGGAACCAAGGTCGAAGCGACCAATGTCCCCAAGTCCGGGTCCCTATAACCAAAACGGGGCCGCCCCGGGGAATTCGAGCAGGCAACCAACCATGCGCATTGCAGCAACCTAAACCTAGCATGCAATGGGCTAGCCGTTTGACCCCTAGCCTCAGCTGTAACAGCATGGAAAAATTGGAGTACGAGTAGAGAACAAGTCTCTCAAACTTCCGGGTCGAAGGTGTCATCGACCCAACAAGCAACATGACGGAGGTAGTACAGGTGATCGTCACCCTGAGTCAGGGGCAGCGAGCAACCCTCAAACTCACACAGGGCGAGATGGGATGCAGAAGACTCGTCCATTGCAGCCAACTAAGTCCCAATGGGGTATTCCAGGGCCCGCAGAAGGTTGTTTCCCTACAGGAAGCCCAGGCGCTGGACCGCCAAAACCGGTTGTATCCTGTATATATCTGGGCAAACTGGCCCCCAGTATAGTGAGCTACCCCAGAGGCCCAGAGGAGGTCCATCTGTCTGAATCTAGGTATCACCTAATATGGACTGTGGCGGCCTCCCAACGGGCAATAAAACAAGCTAAAGAATGAAAAAGAACTCCGAGGAAGCACCACAACCCAGGAAACCAGAAAGAGTCACGGCCGCTGTGATTATGCAAGTTGGGGAGCCCAACGCGACCCAACCAGCAAACAACCACCAAGGGTCAAACAGGAGTACAGTGACACCTCAGCTTATGAATGCCCCTCTTTATGAATCTTTCGGGTTACGAGCCCAGTTTCTTTGTAAAATACGAATCAGATTACGAACTTTGCCTCGGGTTTCCAGTCAGTATTGTGGAGGCCTCCAATAAATATTCCCAAAATGAAAAACTTAAATGATTTTTTATATTTTTTCCTTTTCTCAGAGCATGATTTTAACAATATAGCACAATATAGGAAGACAAAACTTTTTTAGTTGTTTTTCGGTGTGCATAAAGATAATGCTTGATTTATCTTATTTGCATTTTAAGGGTTAATACTGTTACAAATGAGTTTTTAATGATTTTTCCTTAATAGGCACAATCTTTGAAAAAGGAGCTGGTATTTTAGGAAAGTCACTGTCCATTCCTCTTGCAATTTTATATGTAGTGATCATATCACCTCTTTCTTGTGTCCACTAGTTTCATCATATCTAATTTTTTCAGATATTCAGTAGCATGCACTGCGCCTTTTCCAGTTATCACTGTTTTTTGAGAAAAAAGGCACCAAACCATATTCTAGTTTACTTCTGACATATCTTGGAAACTGTTTTAATCATTTGGCTTCACCATCCATGGACCTTCCCCACAACACCTCACTACCTATTTACTAGTAGGTGAACAGAGGCATCAGCTGAAAGACAATTATGCCCAAGTACTGATGTCTTGCAATGGGAACTGACCCCAAGACCTTTCGGCTGTGACCCCGACTGCACAGACCACTGTGCCACCGTGCATAATAAGTCGCCATAAACTGTATGTCCATCTGGATGGTAATTACCTACCTGGGCTCTACCTACCTAATTACCTAAGGTACGGAGCCCTGTGTACACACCAGTTGGTGTTTGGACTAGGAGAGTACTTGTTCAGTACTGTACTAAAATGTACATTTAACATGAGTGATATAAACTCCCCCCCCCCCCACCACTGGCGACAAACATTCACTTGCTCTGGAGTTACCAACACGTACCTTTTATCTTCCACTTGAAACTGATACTTGACAGCAGTTTTTGCAGTTACTTTTTTCCATCCCCTGAATATCTGTCCAAAAGAAAGAATTAGGAATCTGAGTCTTTTTAACATCTGAAATGTCTTAATTTAATGGCTATAGCATTTGTGATAAAAATGAAGAGTTGAATGTAATGAAATGGCCATTTCTGGAGGGCCATCAGTGGCTTCCGAGGCAAAGGAGTGGTCCAGCCAAGCCTAGGAAATGCCCCCATAGGTCTCCCCAGCCTTCAAATCCAGTTCTGTGTCAGATGTAGACACCACCGGATGTCTACTGCAGTGTTCCTGGGGTCCCAGGAAGCAGCCACGTGGGTCCCAGGAAGCAGCCACGTGGGTCCCAGGAAGCAGCCACATGGGTCCCACTGCTTCTCGGCCAAGTGCCAGCAATCCTTGGACTTGGTTCTATAGTGCGCCATTTGCTTGGTATTGTTCCATATTTCAAGTTGGCTTCATGAGCATGTTCTCTATCCAGTCTGTGTTGTGTGGATCTGGCTCATAGGGTTCTTGGAACAGCATGTGCTCAGGGCTACCTTCTCTGAACACTGTGCTCACAGTGCACTTGTGAGTGTGCACTCCCCTGCTGCTACTCCTGCACTGACAGTTCTCCTCCCTGGTATGTTCAAGAGTTCGCTCTTACAAGGCTGTACCACCAGGGTGGGGCCTTTCATCAGGTGTGTCGGGGGGGGGGGGGGGGCCGCTCTTTTGCCTCTCTGTCTAGACCCTGGGTTAGGTACGAAAGTTTTGGCTGGCGGGGCGCACTGAGGGTTTGAGTGCTTGTTTTACATGGCACACCAAGGTTGACCTTCACAGCCATGTTAACTAGGCCATGTTGGTTTGCTTATATAAATCCCAGCGAGTGTCCCCAGTGCTTGGGAGTCCCGTTTCGTCAGTCCTTCGAGACCAATCCCTTGTGGGTTTCGTTTGAGGTCTCTGGATATCTCCTCCAGATATGCTTTTGCCTTGTGCGAGTTTAAGGGCTCTTGGATCAGTGACACCTACTGAAATAGCCTCCAGAATGTTAGTGAAGCTTAATAAACCTCTGGAGGGTTTCACAGCAAAGAAAGCCAGGAAACGACCAAAAGAGCTTCACAAACAATTCACAAAGAACAAAGGATTCACTCAAACTAGCTCGAAATTCATTAGTGCCAGTTACCACCACCAGGCAAAGCGACCTCGGCCCTCAGCTGGCTCCACTGGTCAGTTCTGGAGTTAATAAACAACCCAATGAAGAACCAACGAACCTGGAGGTAGGGAGGGAGTCGGGGAGCCACTAGGGTTCCTCTTAAGAGGCATTTCATTACATTCAATACTGGGTTTCTGGGGGAGCGTCCCTGGTGGCTCCCTGAAGCTAATTAACGACACAGAAAAAATGGGACCTACCAGAGAGGAGGGGAGGCAGCAGGCACTAGACACAGTAAGAGCCTGGTTCCCTAGGCACATAAGAGAACCCAGGTTGGAAGATATGGCCCAAAGAAACACACAACTGGTACTAGGAATATGACTAAATTCCAGGCCACCAGAACAAAACCAGAATGGTTTTGGTTACATTTATTAAACAGTTTACAAGCATGAAAACTTCCTAATCAACTGTTGTTATTTTTATGAACAACCTCCTGGTGCTTCAGAGCTCATTAACTGATTAATAATAGTAAACAAAGCTGCCAAAGATTGAGAAAAGATGTACAGGTTCGTAAGTGCTTGCGTAACTGCTTCGTGAATCCGCGTCCAGGCCCTAATGGTATGCCTGCAAAACGTAGGAGAGAGAGTACCCCAGAGAAGACATCACTGCCTGATGTTATAATGGAATGGAACTCCCCTTCCAAACACTAACACCTCTCCTCCTCCTCTTCCCCCTCCACACCATCTTCCACACACCAACAAGAGTCATCAATAAAGGTAAGCTATAACTTGTACATACTGTACTATAGTACAAAATATTTGTGTGTATTATGTATGAAATATATTTTGAAGGTACTGTAATATTTTTGGGAGTGTGGAATGGATTAATTCAATTTACATTACGGGAAAATTCTTTTCGGGTTACGATCCGTCTCTGGGAATGGATTAAATTCGTAAACAAAGGAACCACTGTAGTAGCAAAACTAATGCCAGGAAAGCAGGCGATGAGTCACAATAATGTGGCTGAAGTATGTTGACCAGACCACACACTAGAATATGAAGGGACGACGACGTTTCGGTCCGTCCTGAACCATTCTCAAGTCGATTGTGATGAGGGAATTGATTGATTGATTGATGAAGATTAAGCCACCCAAGAGGTGGCACGGGCATGAATAGCCCGTAAGTGGTGGCCCTTTCGAGCCATTACCAGTATCAAAAGATGATACTAGAGATCTGTGGAGGCGCAACTGCACCCTGCGTGACGGGAGATGTCTCCCGGACCAAATGGTGTTCTGTCAAACACGATGATGATGATTGACGAAGATGAAGCCACCCAAAAAGGTGGCACGGGCATGAATAGCCCGTAAGTGGTGGCCCTTTTGAGCCATTACCAGTATCAAGAGCTGATACTGAGGATCTGTGGAGGTGCGAATGCACCCTGCATGACGGGAGATGTCTCCCTTATGAATGTGTTAAGATGAAGATGAAGCAACCCAAAAGGTAGCACGGGCATAAATAGCCCGTAAGTGGTGGCCATTTTAAGCCATTACCAGTATCAGGAGCTGATACTGGAGATCTGTGGAGGTGCAAATGCACCCTGCATGACGGGAGATGTCTCCCTTGTGAATGTGTTAAGATGAAGATGAAGCCACCCAAAAGGTGGCACAGGCATGAATAGCTCGCAAGTGGTGGCCCTTTTGAGCCATCACCAGTATCAATAGATGATACTGGAGATCTGTGGAGGTGCGACTGCACCCTGCGTGACGGGAGATGTCTCCCGGACCAAATGGTGACCAGATGGTGGATGAGGGAAGGAGATGAAGGCAATAAATAGGCAAGAGAGAGGTGAGGAGCAAGGCAAAAGGTACGCAAGGTAAGGTGTAGTAGAGGGGATAGAAACAGGAAAAAGAACAAAGGTAACTGCAGAGGGCCTATTGGCCCATACAAGGCAGCTCTTATTTATAACCAACCAATAAAAGGGGGATAGTAATAGGAATAAGAATAATGCCAGGAAACTTCATAGTTACCACAAGGAAAAATACAGGTGGAACTCCAACAAGCCAGTACAATGAAACTGCAACACCATCTTCCCCCCCAAAAAAAAAATCCTGTTGCCATTGTTTAAAATAGGGCAGAAAGAGAACAGTATCATGACTGTACATTGAGAATTAAAACAAAGTCATAATTGCCATGTATCAATACAGAAAGTACAAGGTACTGAAAACAAAAAGCATTTAATTCCAAAGTATGAAACTAACCTAGGGAATACTGAACCCTACAACATACATTCAAATCTAGCAAACCCAGACCAGACGTAAATACACGGGCAAAAATAAGATATCCTTAAGAATACAAGGAACCCCCCTCTGCCTCCGACGGAGAGAATCCAAGCCAAACCCTCAAAAGAAAGAGGGTGTATCATCCATCCAGGACAAGCAATGACCACAAGACCCAGTCAAAACAGAGAAGAGGTTCAATTTCCATGAGAGGTACTGAAACGGCTACAAAACAGGCCACTGATGGAGCACTGCAGGGCACAGGAATCCCCTTCCTTCCCCCCACTAGTGAAGCCAAAGCACCTAATGGTACACAGAACCAAATGCAGGGGAAGCTATTGAAGGAAAACACACACACACCAAGGAGGAGGAAAAATACAAAACCAACCGCCAGGAGCAAAATCCCCTGCAGAAGGAACAGAGCCCCGAAATGGAGAAAAAAGCTCCCACTGGTCCACCATGCCTAACACCCTCCCCTAACCACAGAAGTCATGCATGATGGCTCCAGGGCAGAGCCATTCAATATGCCCAATGCCATGGATAGCAGGTGACATCATATGTAGAGGGAGTGGAGGAAAGAAGTGGTTGTAAAGAACATTTCAAACCCTCAGCAGGAAGAGATGGCTTAACTGCTGCCTTTGCTGTTGAAGGGATGGGCCACCCCGAGAGCCAGATGAGTTACACCCCAGTGACCCCCCCCAACTCCATTACTTCACTCAACACTTTTGCTGCCCCGGCAGGTGATCTGCCGCGCTCCTCAAGGTCAGCCGAGCGGTGTGCGCGAACTCACCACCAAACACAAACGTTTATGCAAATACTCTTTTTAGCTTTCTAACCTCAATTTTTGTGCTATGTCATTCAATTCAGTATCAAATAGTTTGCAATAGAATATTCTAAAGGAATATGTGCATATAAGAACATGTAAGTCTCACTTTCCTATACTTTAGGCCCACCATGCACGGCAAGGTAGCCTGAGAGCTCACCGCCACCACACAAAAATGTTTATACTCTTCTTAGCTTTCTGACCTCAAATTTCGTGCTATGTCGTTCAATTTGGTATCAAATTGTTCACAATAGAATGCTGTAAAGGAATATTTGCACATAAGAACATACAAGTCTCACTTTTCTATACTTTCGACGAAAACTCTCTAACTTTTTCCTCATACGTGTTTCTTTCAATGCTTTCGTCATGGATTGGCTCTATTCTTGATCAGTATCCATCTGGAAGTCAATTTGCAGTGTTTACAACACTGCAACAACAAATACCAAAGATAAAATAACCAGAATGGGGAAACTTTTTGACTTGAGAGAAGACCGCGGCTGTCATGAGCGAGGTCACAAGAACAGTGAGCCTCCAGTGTGGGGGAGGGGGGGGGGGGGGGTTGCCCACATAGCGGGGTCAGGGTGCCATGTGGGGTATAGAGAGAATGGGCAGAAGTTGGAGCTCATTTTAAAACAAGTCCCATAGAATTCGGAAAATAAATGGAATTTCTACAATTTTTTGTTAATTAATGACACCATTTGCGTCATCAGGCATACTCCATATTTTGGTTTCGTGACAGAATATGAAGCATCGGACAGCGAAAGTGTTAATTTGAAGCGACAGGTGACGGGGCTTGCTCATGGCTGGCAGACCAGAACACTACACGCAGAACCAATCCTTACCTCATCATTGCCTCATCAGTAACTGAACTGATCAAGGAAGCTAGCCGAGCACTGGAACCAGGCCGCCTAGTGGTGGTAATCGGCACTAACGACATTCGAGCTAGTTCTGTGTGAACTGTTTGCAGAATTGTTTGCCAGTTAGAAGCTTTGTTTCCTGAGAAACCTGCAGTTGTCTAAAGCTTTGCTGACTTTCTTGAGGATTTATGCAGTAGGTTGATGAATTGTCATTGACCCGCTTGGCGCCTGACAGCTGGGTGGACAGCGCTTCAGATTCATAGTCCTGAGGTTCCAGGTTCGATCCCCGGGGTAGGCGGAGACAAATGGGCAAAATGTTTCTTTCACCCTGATGCTCCTGTTCACCTAGCAGTATATAGGTACCTGGGAGTTAGACAGCTGCTACGGACTGCTTCCTGGGTATGTGTAACAAAAAAGATGCCTGGTCAAGGACTGGGCCGCAGGGACGCTAAGCCCCGAAATCATCTCAAGATAACCTCAAGATAAGATCACCCTGTGTCTCTGTGAGGGGGTCCTGGCTCTGGTACCCACTAGGCCAAACACAACTTGTGTGACTGATGGGGCCTTTCAGTTTGGATCAATCTTAGCAAGACAGCTTCAAGGAACCACCAGGGGGGGGGGGGATTCCTGGCTCTGGTACCCACTAGGCCAAACACAACTTGTGTGACTGATGGGGCCTTTCAGTTTGGATCAATCTCAGCAAGACAGCTTCAGGGAACCACCAGGAGGGGAGGGAGGGGGGGGGGGGGTTTCCCCTCTAGAAAGCCTCATGATGCAAACTTGGGCATCTGTGAGTTGCTGAGAATTTAGGTTTCCTTTACCAGTGAGGAAATATTGACATAAATACCAGCAATCATGTGTGCTGTAGAGTACACAGGTGTTGTAGAGTACATATACATATAGAGTACACAGGTGTTGTAGAGTACATATACATATAGAGTACACAGGTGTTGTAGAGTACATATACATATAGAGTACACAGGTGTTGTAGAGTACATATACATATAGAGTACACACAGAGTGATATGGTACTCTAAACAGAAGCATGGTAGTAAAAGACAAACTTGGTGCAGGAAAACTGAAGAACAATTCCTGTGTGAGATATCATCCAAAGTGGACTTCAACTGAATTTTCTGTTAAATGTTTATTTACGAGTCAAAGCAATCCAAATGTGAGAAATATAACTTCAACTCAATTGAATATGAAGACTCTAAACCACAATTTCAAATGACAAAAACTTTTAAAGATCATTTACCTTTAATGCACCAAGTGACTGAAGTGGGCGTCTCTCCATTTTTCTCTCACTTCTAATTTTATGTAGAGATCCCTGAATAGGCTGAACACGCACCGTCTCCTTCGACCGAATAATTTTAATTTGCTTCAATCTTAACATCTCTCTCTCAGCTGCGACTTCTGCATCACAATCTAAAAATAATATAAATTAGTAATGATTTTTTTGTTTTTGTGGGGCCAAATAGGTTCCCAAGGTGAAGCCCAGCCCTGAGAAGTGTCCAAGGCTTCTGAGACCCTCGCTGACCTACTGGGAGCCATGACCCATGGTGAAGCCCAGCCCTGAGAAGTGTCCCAGGCTTCTGAGACCCTCGCTGACCTACTGGGAGCCATGACCCATGGTGAAGCCCAGCCCTGAGAAGTGTCCCAGGCTTCTGAGACCCTCGCTGACCTACTGGGAGCCATGACCTATGGTGAAGCCCAGCCCTGAGAAGTATCCCAGGCTTCTGAGACCCTCGCTAACCTACTGGGAGCCATGACCCATGGTGAAGCCCAGCCCTGAGAAGTGTCCCAAGCTTCTGAGACCCTCGCTGACCTACTGGGAGCCATGACCCATGGTGAAGCCCAGCCCTGAGAAGTGTACCAGGCTTCTGGTACACTTCTGAGACCCTCGCTGACCTACTGGGAGCCATGACCCGAGGTGAAGCCCAGCCCTGAGAAGAGTACCAGGCTTCTGAGACCCTTGCTGACCTACTGGGAGCCACGACCACAGTTCCCAGGGCCATTGCTCCTTGCACCTCTCTGAGGGGGCCAGGTTCTCGCTCATGGTCCCCGGTAGGCAGAACGCCATTGACTAAAGGCCCTGGTCTAATGTATCGCATATTAGCCCGATAGCTCCAAGGAGCCAAAGGGGCTCCCCACACAAAACCATGGCCACAAACAAAACAAATGTTTGATGAAGCAGAAAATGGGCCCCATCAGATGACACTGTGCCATATGAGTTAGTGACCAGGCGAGTGAGGAGGCAGACTGGTTGGGACTCCAGGTGCCCTAGGCTATCACCTTGTGGTGGTCAGACACATTACAGGGTGTTTACACTGCAGCAATTATCATTAACTTAGTTACCTGCAGGTATCTAATTTTCCTTGGGCCATTGCTCATTTGGACGTGCTTATGCTCTCAGGTGGGATTTTTCCCCTTGGTTTTGGATTCATCTCTGGTCCCCCAGCTTCCCCTCACCTTGTATACAGCCAGACTAGACCTGACTCCCAGTAGGAAAGGCCGGGCCTCAGACACCTGGTGCATCTCCCCAAGGATTCTCTGCACTGGCACCTAGCTTGGGAAACTAATGAGGGGGTCACTTCAAGAAATTTCAAAATATATAAATATGAATATACCTACTGTATACAAAATGAAATCACAATAACATGATCTATGGAAAAGTCAGCCCAGTTAAGATATCTGCAGTGATCCTCAACGCTACTTTGATCCTGCCGTCCTGCTCCAAAATTTTCCTGATACTTGCAGTATGTTCATATACCAAAGTAGAGCAAGACAAATGCTGTTATGAGCAACAATATTACTAACCAAACACTGAAGCTGAGTAAGTCAAGTTATAATAAGCTTCATAAAGTTAAACATATTACCTTGTATAGGAGGTGTTACACTTTCATCCGTAAGCTGAACAATATCCGTAGATAATCTCTGCATCTTGGAGTTAGTGTCGCTGTTGTCCTGCTTCTCCTGTGTCAACTCTTGCCTTCGTTTCCTTCTCAACACCAAACCCTTTTGTGTTTCCTCTTGTTCCCAATCATCATCATTCAAAAAAGCCTCAGTAATTTCTGTAATTTCTACATTGTCTGATGAATGAGGATTCTTAATTATGCTTTTCAATTCGCATGTGCCTTTTGAATGGTTCTCTGCCTCTATGGACGGCAATGGCAAGTGGAGATTTCCATCCACATCCGATACACAATTTTGAAGTTGATTTCTGTTATAATTGTGAACCTTAAGATTTCGTTGGGCTGGTAGTCTCATATTTACTGCCAAATTTGCATACCTATTAACAGAAATTTCTCTACATTTCTGCGAGCCCAGTATAGGAGAGGGACTTCTGTGTGCAGAGTTTTCAAGCATATCTCCATCTTCAACAAAAGATTTATTGATTTCTTCTGTAGGTTCTGGAGTTCCTGAGAGGCCAATATTTATGCATGCTGGATCTCTGCTTGCTTCTGTGTCAGTATTTATATTACAAATTCTTTCTTTAAATTCTGCGGATGAACTCTGGGTGTCCTTACTAGAAGCTTTACTTGTTTTGTCATCTAGTGTCCAAGTCTGTGCCGGTTTCTTCCTACACATACTTAACTTGGTCTTTGTTGAAAGAGGCTGTCCTGCACCTTCCGAAGTTTCTGAGCTTTTATCCACTCCTCTTGCTTCACCAGCTAAGGCATTTATATACTCTGTCTCTGTGCTATGAAGCTCAGTAACATTCTCCATACACAAATTCTCAGTGAAATGTTTTCCATCTTCCTGAATTTCTCCTCTTTCATCAATGTTCGTTGAAGAGTGAACGCTCGCCCCGTCTCCACAGCCACTCTTACTTACCTCAAGTTTATTCTCATTTTTAATATTGACATTTTCTATTGGTGCTTCTTGTGGTGGCCAAGTAATGATGTGCTTTTCATCAACTTTGTCTTGAGTAAGAAACTTGTGAGCCTTCTCCAAGGCACCCTGGCTAACATGGGCCTCGGCACCACCAGCTCTTCTCAAGCCCTCCAATTTTGTCCCCGATTCCTTGCCTTGAACTTGTTTATGATTATAAGAAGATTGCTCTGTGCACCTGTTCACTTCCTTGTCATTATTTGATGGCACATCTTCACTAAGAATATTTTTAGCTTTACAAAGAGCTTCCTTACTTATAAAGATTCGCTTGCCACGAGCTGTTGCAAAACTTGGAGCTGAACATATGGAACCGGTATCACGATTCATTTCATTAAGCAAATATGATTGCTTTTCTTCATCTAGATGATATTGTTTAGTCTCCTCTTGTTTTATAACTAACTTTGATAATAGATTGCTTGTGCCTGCTCTCTGGTAATCTTTGTAACTTGTATTTAAAGGGAGCCTAACATCCAATAAAGATTGTTCTGACTTACAAAACTGCAAAGGCTGAGGCTTTTCCAATGCATTTTGCTGTGTAATATTTGACTGTTCTTCAAGAGATGGTGCTAAATTCTCAGATAAAATATTGCCTTGTTTTTCCAAAAGTGGAATTCTGCTGCTTAAAATTAATTTATTTCCGTCATCCTGAAGGGAAGTGGAGTTATTAGTTACCATTACGTTACAGTCACTTTCTTCCCACAGAGTTTTGGCTCTAGCAATAGCCGCTTCGGTTAATGATACTCTTTTTCCACGTGCCGTGTGAAAACCAGAGAAACTTTCCCCTTTCGACTGGTGATAAATGTTACCAATGCTACTTGTATGACTTACGTTAGTATTTTCATTTGATATACAAGCTGCCATATTATGCTTTGACTGAGGCACTGGAGAATTATTCTTTATTGGTAATGTTTTCATACTTCTTTCATTGCATTTGTCTATAATATTCACTGTAATTGGTTCAGATCTCAAATGGCTTTTCAAGTTTTCACTTTCATTCAAAAGTGACTGGGCTTCACATACACCACTATGGCTAGATTTTGAAACTGCACTCTGACTTGTTTTTAACTTGGGTGAATTACTGCTATCAGCACTCAGCACAGTTCCCTCACTCACATTATAATCTGCTGGTGAACACCTGGACCCTTGCCGCTCTGACTCCAGCGTATGTGATGCGTCCGGTACCCGACGTCCACTTCTTGCACTCTTCTGTATGTTCACAGTTTTGTGTTCGTCAGGGTCGCTCTCCCCAGTATTTTCCTCCCACAACAATTTAGCCTTTTTTAATGCCTCTTTGCTAATATTAATTTTTGATCCAGAAGCTGTGGAAAAGCCTTGAAATCCCCTCACGCTGCTTGATGCTTCATCTGGTGCACCCACACACTCGTATTTGTTAACTAACTTACTAGAGGAGTCTTGCATGTCGTTACTTCTCCCATCACATCTATTACTTACACAATCCTTAGTTTTTTTAAGCAACATTTGACAAGATTTATTCAGCAAAGATTCACTGTCAGCTTGAACAGTGACACATGTATCAGTTTTCAAGGCATGTATGTTTAAACTATCTCTATCATCGTGGGCAATGGCTACCTTTTTCTCTTGTAAAACCTTGTGTAAAATATTTGAATGATCTTGAACATCTGTATCGCTATTCTCGGGATCACATTCCGTAACGCAATTTTCCTCTACCCAAAGCTTCTTGGCTTTTGCCACGGCCGCTGGGTTCACTGTCACTCTTGACCCTCGAGCAGTAGTGAAGCTACACACAGTGGGAAAATGTCCAGAAATGGACACTGGTGCTGAGAACTGGCAAGTCTTATCATTAGCATTTACTCCACGAGGAGCCACACAGGCAGTGTACTTCTTATCACTTGAAGTGTCTTCTACCATTAGTGACCCATCAGATGGCAACTCCTTCACCAGCTTCTTTGCATGCTCCAAAGCTTCTTTGCTTACTATCATTTGCTTTCCTCTGCTAGTATAAAAGCCAGAACCTATGTTTTCTCTGGAATCATTTTGATACTTATCATCAGTTTCTGCTGCAAGCGTATTACTTGGAGCACCAGTACCACCAAGGTCAAGTACACTGGCCTGCTGCACTTCACCCGTCCGACTCTTGACAACCACCTCATCTACCACTGGAACACATGGGTTTGTATCCATTTCTGATAAATAAACATCATTTAGGCTGTCATTCATAATTTGGCTAAACCTTTCCTGCTGTAAAATATGAGGTGAAGCCAATTGATCATGTTCATGACCATGAGAATATGATGAGACAGCTAAAGTATTTTCTTCTTCAGTTAGGTCTCTCTCGGGAACAACCTGAAGCTCAGAGGCGACCATCTTCCACTGGTCACCATTTTGCTGCAGTTTCCTGCTCAAACCTCCTGATAACCTCCTAGAAACTTTATCATTACAATATTTAGATTTTGGTAAAGCTGTATTGAAATAAACTTGTTCAGAATTCAACGGTTTCTGGCTGTTGCCCTGAGTACTGATCGTAAGAATGTCTGCATCTGTGAACGTGTCGTGTGGATCATCAAATGCCGTCCCGACGGCACCGACGCTGGTAACCGGTGATGCAACACACACTCTTCTTGAGCTGCTCCACTGGCTCCCCAATCTTTTCCCATCTGCAGGTACTAGTTGGTTTCTGGGACTTGATGATTTCTCTTTATCAAAACCCAAAGGAGAATATGTAGTCTTATCTGATAAAGAAACATCATTGCTTTCAAATCTTGTATCTTTCTCGAGACTTGTTAGAGACAGGAAATTCTGCTGCTTGTTGGCAATACTATGAATGTCAGGAGAAACCTTTAGCACTGAGCTTGTTGAACAAGCAGATTGTATTTTGGAGATAGGTGGTTGAGGCTCTGGGAATGAGCTCGAACTACTTTCAACCAGCCCAATTGTTTCTGTGTATGTCATCTTTAGTTTCTCGTAACCTTCTTCTGATTTTGAAGGATACAAGAACTTGCCCGACAAGTTTTTCTTCTTGCGTAAACTCAGCTTATTCAAAATACTCTTTCCCTGTAAAGAGTCTGAAGATGTGGATATTGGTGTCTTTGCACCATCAGAAGCATCACGGCCAGGACTTTCTTCATTACTGTCTAAGTATTTGCAAGAAGTTTTCTTAAATAAAGGTACTGAGAGTGATCCATGAGAAGCAGCTTCTGAAATGCACTGACCAGATTGTTCGGGTGTTTTTGCTTCAAGGATTAAGGGGCTATTATCTGTACTTTGGTTTCTAGTCATAAAAGACTCCTTCAATTCATTATCTTTGAATTTCTCCTCAGCTTTTTCATGAATAATTTCTGCCTCTGATGGCAGCAATAATTTGCTGTTGGGATTATACATTTCTAGGTGATGATTAACATCACTGTTATATGTGATATTTAAGTCTGGTCCCGTGCATGTGTCAATATTTTGTGGTATATTTCCAATAATGACTGGCTGTTCCTCAGCATCTGGCTTCCTCATATTTGTACCACTGCTCATTATCTTGACATCACTACCAGCCGTCACATCTTGGCAAGTGTTCTTGAGCTTTGCCTCACTGTTCATACCCTCAACACATTTCTTACTTACCACCTTAACAGGTGAGCAAATGAGATCAAGAGGATTCACACTTAATTCATCTGAATTTTCTGTAACATCTGACTGTAAAGAAACACGAATATGGTTAGTGTTAAGATGCTCTCTCACAATTATATTTGTCTCGGGAGTCTGCATCTTTTCAGTTTCCTTTGCATTATCAGCCTTGTGATCTATTTGGGTTACCTGAATCATCTCCGAGCATTCTTGAGGTTCTGGGACATCATCGGCGAGTACCAAATGTCGAGGGAATAAAGAGGTCCTCGACTGTGGTGTTACTCTCACCGGTGTACTGGTTCTCTCCGGACCCTTTATAGTCCAGGTGTCTCTCGTATCTGGTGTGCTCTCCAAGGGAAACCCATTTTCTGTATCAGTTGTTACTATGCTTCTCCTCCTCCTTCCTTTGGAAAGCTGAACTTTTTCATGACTGTCCTCTTCCATGGATTCCATGCACCTTTTACCAAGGGATATTCTGAAAGTTTGTGTATCATTAATCAAAAACTTTTCTTTACTTTCATTATCTATGTTTGTCTTCTCCACAACCTCTGTGGTCAGTTTGTTAATGAACACTGGCAGAGGAGAGAGACCTTTGATAACACCAAGACCAGGACTACATTTCTCCCTTCTGGAAGGACTCTCGACTGATCGTGTGTGCGGACTGAAGAGTGAACGAGCCATTACCTGTAGGTATTTGTACATTAGTCAAATATACACCAATAAAATATCTACTAAGTTGTGTCTGAGTACTACTAAATATCTATATGTTCATGAACTGTACTTACAGTTCACTTACAGTCAACTTACAGTTCATGAACTGTAAGTGAAATATTGATACCCAAAGAAGGTCAAGCATTGTGTTATTCACTATGATTGAGCATTAACGGAACCAAAAATTCTTTTTGACACTTGAAATTACACCCAACAAACCCAAATATTATATAAGTATTGTATATGTTAAGTATATCAAATGATTTTGTCTTAACCAGGCGTCTTAAATAACAATCTGATTCCAAAATGTATTACAGTATGAAGAATGTGTCCAATAAATCCCACAACAAAAACCCAGTGTTGAATGTAATGAAACATTTCTTTCTGGAATAGCCCCATTAGCTCCCTGAAGTTATCTTGCCGAGATTGCTCTACACTAAAAGATCACACCAGCCACGAAGTTCTTTTGGCCTATTGGGAACCAGCTACAGAGCCTGCCCCCCCCCCCCCACACACAGTCACAGGGTGCTAGTTACAATCTGGGGCTCCACAAAAAAAGCACCCAGTAAGTCAGCAGCTTTACAGAAAACTAGAGGCTTTACAGAAAACAAAGCCTGAAAACAGCTAAACAGTTCCACAAACATTTCACACAGAACAAGGTATTCACTCAAACTAGCTGGAAACTAGTAAGTACCGAGTACCACCACTAGGTGGCCTGGCCCCGGCCCTCAGACAGCTTCCCTGGTCAGTGCTCAAGCTGATAAACAGCTCAGCAACAAACTGATGAACCTAGAGACAGAGGAGTGGAATAAGGGAGCAACTGGAGCTCCTCCAGAAAGAGGCATTTCATTACCTTTAACACCAGGTTTCTAGAGGGAGCCCCTCCCAGTGGCATCTTGAAGCTATAACCACAGAGCAAAAAACCAGCATTGAATGTAATGAAACGCCATTTTCTGGGTGAGTCCCGAAGGCTACCTGGAGCTATCCAGGCTGAATGGATATGTATAACTTTCTGGCATCAATCAATGTGCACCGAGTTCTTGCCTACCGGGAAACACGAGCCAGAACCTGGCCCCTCAAGAGAGGCACGAGGAGCAATGGCCTATAGAAACCCCCATGTGGTAGGGAGCATTCTATGTCTGCCATTGACCAGAACTGGCACCCAGAAAGGTAGGAGCCCCAAACAAACCCCTATTCTGGTGAAACTATTGCTACCGAAAGCCGAACGAGTGGACAGAACTCCCCAAACGAAAATTAGCAAACGAGAATGACGATGTCATGTCGATGTGCCGCTATCTGCACAACCCTTCCCTCCCCGGGAGGGGAAAAGGGGAGTCCCAGACCCCCACACCGGCAATCCACCCTGCTGTTCTTTGGCTGGATATAATAATACGTGAAAACACCACCGACCGGGAGGGAGGGATGGATGCCGGGAAGCCTCCAGGACTCGCCCAGAAAATGGGATTTCATTACATTTAATGCTGGTTTTCTGAGGGGAGCCTCCCTCAGCTCCCCGGAGCTAACTACCCAAAGACAAGGAAAAACAGGGACTCTGCATATGTCTGGGTTGGATTATAAACAGTAAAATAAGCATATAGAGTACGGTAAGTACCATACTCTAATGTCCCGTACATTAGAGTAAGGGACCTTATGGAGTAAGGCATAAGGGGACTCCTCTATGCCTAACTTTTTCGTAAGTTACTTATGAGAAAAAGTAAGGCATAAGGGAGCCTTACTCCCTAAGGCTCCCTTAAGCACCTTAGGGAGTAGGGCACAAGACCAGTATAGGTTGTTAAATTGAGTGGATACTTTTATGTTCAGAGAAGCTACTAGGGGTGGCCCTCCTAGCAAAGGCAATTTTAACTTCTTAATTCTTTGTGATTTCTTCTACACTCCTCTAAATGGTTCAAATTCATAGTGCAAGAATATTAAAGAGATGAGAGTAATCTTTGAAGTTTTTTTACTTAATCAAACATCCCTGGGTAAGCATGCCACCTACAGTCCTGTATTTATGGATGACGGACACAGACTACTTGACTCAAGAGTGGAAGGGTAATCCCACGACAAACCTTAATTACTCTCGAAGTAACAAACAGAACGAACTTGCCTAAGACCAAACAGCCTGAATCTTCAGCTTAATTTTTGAGATTATTGAATCAGGTTGGCAGGAAATATCCACTTACATTTTGTCTAAGTCCTTGTTTAGGATGTAAAGTGAGGCGCTCGAGTGTTGATGGAGAAGTGCGACCATCTTGCTCACCAGCTTGAGGGTGGGAGGTAGGCGTGGCGAGTGCACTCGTCCACGTCACCAGAGAGTCGTCCAGATTACCACCTAAACTTGTTACAATATCTCCGGTGCAGTTGCCCGTGCTACAAGGCAATACAAAAATTCACTGTAAATGAACACATAATAAGCAAAAGGCAGAAATGCCAATTATAACTTTAATAACATAAGAAGCAAACCGTAAACCATTGAAAAATTAAGTATAGTATATTGAAAACTCAATATCCATATCCTTTCACAGTCAAAGCCATTCCTAGTCACTATACCGTTATAGTATTTAAGGATTCATATGACATTTTAAACATTCACAAAAAAATAAAACTTTCTCACTTGTCTAATAAGAAATAATAAAAAAATTAATAATAATAATAATAATAATAATAATAATAATAATAATGAGTTTTAAAATAAATTAGTGTGTGTGTGATTACAATGACTACATAGTAATGTATTTTAAAACTCTTAATAATAATAATAATAATAATAATAATAATAATAATAATAATATTATTATTATTATTATTATCTTCTTCTCAAAGGTCAGCAATCATTCAGTGTTTCTGGAAATGTTACAACTAACACTATGGCCATGGGATCAAGTTGAGTTATTAAAATAGTATTACTAATACAGTACATGTACAGTGCAACTTTGGTTGACGACTGCCCTAGAAGACAAATTTTTGGGAACACCACATCAAATTCATCGTAAAATTTGAATTGGAAGACGACGTCTGTTCGTACGCATTTGGGTCGAACGAGCGCATGGTGCTGGTGGCAAGGGGCGAGCCGCTCTCGGTTTGTTTACGAGTCTATTCCGACGACCGATCTTGAATTCTTTGTAAAGAATTTCCTCGTTTTTTTCTGCTCTTTTGTTTTTTGAACAGTAAAGTTCTTATTACATATGATGCCATGAGTCCCGGGATGGTGAGGGGACTGGATGGTGGATGGGGACTGGATGGATGGATGGATGGATGGTGGAGGGGGGGACAGGATGAATGGTGGGGTGAACCTCCGTTCCCCACACCGCACCCTTCCTGCCACTGGACTTCTATATGTCCCCTGACACCCCCCCCCCTTCATATCTTCCCTCTTCATATCTTCCCTACACCCCCACATGCGCAGTACAGCATATAATTCCTATGACAATAAATATCTCTCTCTCTCCTCATCTTAGTGTTTATCTGTGTAAACAACGGCTTCATAAGTGCTTCTCTTCTTTACTTACTGACCAAACTCTTATACAGACATTCTAAATTTTTGTTTTTTCTCAAGTGAAACTTCAAGTGACTTTACTGATCACTGGAAGCTCATGAGAGTGGACAAGATTCTACACGAGCCATCCTGTTCAAGGAAGAGGAGTTGCCAGTCAAAAACAAGGCAGTAAAGGTACAGATGCAGACACACGATATTACTGAATTACTAGATAATATATACCTTGTCCTCGGTGAGAAAATATCCGAAATGGGCACCGTTGGGCTGAATAACGAGAGGTCGGGGGTTCCTATGTCACCTGCAAAGATGCAAGGTAAAGCTAAAGTCATGCTCAATACTTGAAGCATTTCAAAATGCCTCCTTTAAATACATGCTGAACAACTTTCAGCAAGCACACACAGGAATCCTTTCATCACAAATGGTGTATTGTAAGAATGAACAATCATTACTAAAGTGTTGTATTCCTAGAATATTATGCATTTTCATATTTAGATTACAAGGCAATAGGTACAGTGAAACATAAAATAGTCAAATATATAAAGTTTCTAGATGTTAATTCCTGTGATCAATTTAACAAGGACATTTAACCCTTAAGCTGCTCCAATTACTTCAAAGTGATTGGCCGACACCCAGAAATCAAGCGTATATTCAACGCTTCATTTCTGGGTCTATGAGACTACTTTAAACTTGGACTGGTGAAGTGTGCAGTTGAGCTGGGCAGGAATGCCAACTGCTCACAACAGCTATGAACAAAATAAAATGCCTAGAGCCACAACAAAAGATCTTGAGATCTTGCCAGATAGTGTTCGTGTCTGATCTCTACCTGGTGGTGCAGGGAAATCAAGATATTTCAGTTCATGAAATTTATAGACAGGGCTGGTATAGCCGGAGGATCCTTTTGTGGGATCAACATAGTAAAGTTTGCAAATACGAGGGAGAAAGGATTTCCTGAAACACATGTGCTTAAGCAAAATAAAATCACAATTCACACGCAAGGAAATGGGAATAATTGTCTTTACTGTAAGAGGTGTTATAGGAAAATCTACACACACAGTATCTGTCTCTTGCCGACAAAACCCAAGTGACGTAATGCAATTTAACTTAACGCTGTTAATATGAACACCTCAAGCAATACCAAGAAACAGGTACAGCTGCCTAACCCACTGCAATATGCATAGGACAATTAGAAGCTCAAAATGATGCTTTGGAAATTATTGCATGCACATAAAACTGACATATGTTGTAAATATTTTCACAAACATGTGCGTGGTTAAGAACCAGCACTCTGTGGGCTGCCCTACTCGGAATGTTCGCACCAGAATCTGGGACATTCACCAAGCTTACTAGGCTGCACTTAGTGCTATGAAAATGTGAGTAAATATGTGTATTGTTACAATCTCCATCTAAATGCATCATATCTTGCCCACCTCAAGAGTCATTTATCTTGCCTAATATGATCCTAGATGGAACAAAGAATGTATTAAGTTGCTAAGGAAAGTGCTGGGTACAACTTTGGAGTGAATTTGGTTATAAAAGTTGGAAAAGGGAGAGAGAGGCAGAAAACAAAATGACACTGAGAAGCAGGTGTGAGAGTCTAGTGTGAAGACGCCGGCTTAAATGATGTACAGTATAACAAAAGGTCTGGGACGATAAAGAGACAAGCTCGCAGCCAATCAGTGATAGTGTTGCTGTGACATCATCAGTGGGCACTGACATAGGAAAGGAAAGTGGCGTGCAGGTCACTCACCTCGCAGGCCATGGACTGTGGAGACAGTCGCTCCAGAGTTCCAGGGGAAAATTTGCCATTTCAGCAATTTTATGTGGCCAGTTGAGCCTGTTGATGAGAGCAACAGTACTGTGATCACAAGAGGGGCAGCTGGAAACCTTTTTGATAAGGTAGAACAATAAGATGATATTCAAGAAATCAGAAGTTAGTGGTGGAGTCCAACAGAATACCTTCCGTCATAGAAAGGAGAGAATAAACACCCTATGGCGTTGGTGGATCAACGTGAGAGAGAGTAATCTTCAAGTCCACGAGACAGTCCCGACTCAGTCAAGGGTCAGTAGCACATGTTCCAAGAAGTTGATCTATAGAAGAAAGTCCCGGTGAGAAGAGGCTTGCAGCATTCAACAAGACTACCGGTAAGAGTCTTCACGTAAACACTGTGAGTAAGGCCAGCGATTGTTGTAATCATTTTATCGGCCATTCCATGAATAATCAGTGACTAATGTGAATAACGAGTGACACAACATATATTGAATGTTGGCTCAACCAGTAGAGACAGTTGTCATGTAATCCTCAGTCGAGGTAGCGTATCAGTGCAAACAGGATGGGTCAGAAACTGCCGCAGAGGTGAAAATCCTGCGAAATGACTCACTAGTATGGGGAATTAAGACTGTTGGAGGCAGTGGCGCACTCCCTAAGGATGCATCTCTTATTTGAAAAAGTTTGTAAAAAAAAGTTTTGTAAAAAAAGTTTAAAAAAAAAAAAAGCTCCTCCCAATAAGTTTGAAAACTTATTGGGAGGAGCTTAGTGAGTGATCTGCAACACCAAGGATATTGTGAGTGAAAAGAGCCCAGTGACATGTCTGACTTCATGGATCAACTGGTGAAAGTGCAACATCATTGATGCAGGCGAGGTGATGGTGAGCTAAGCGACATGAAAAGAACCCCCTGCTACTGTTGAGGAATCAACTGATTTTCTAGTTAACCCTTAAACTGTGCAACACTTCATATGATGTGTTGAGTAACTGACGCAAAAGTGCGCACCACTTTTGACATTTTGGATTACCACGCAAGATTAAAACGGGCCGCGAGGTAGAGGGGAGGCCCCCATATGCTGCCCATGGGCTTTAGTAAACAGCAGCCATTTTGGACAAAAATCCAGTTGGACCACCACGGTGTGAGAGGTCTCAGTTACCCAACAGTCAACATGGCAAGCACATGGCCAAACGCCTCCCGGGCACATACCATGCAATCATTGACTCAAGATCAAATAATAGTGAATTATTTTCTGATGGGGAGAAAAGTGACATTGATGACCGACATTGACAGAGACTATGCACAGACGTCCGACGATAATAGCATGGACAGTGAGATTGAGATACAGCCTGCTCCCATGGCAAGGCCTAGACGTTCAGCAGTGCCTCATCGCCCAGTGTCTACACCAATTCGCTCACGACCACACAGTTCTTGTACTTATTTAGAGTATGAGGATATTTTGGGCGACGAGTCAGAGAATGGGGATTCTTTTTCTGGTTTTAATGAAGTTGAATCAAAACAGAGTATTACTACGCCTCTCGCTAGTGGCAGTGGTGTTACCAAGCGATGTTTTGTTGCATCAGCAGCAGTGGCTTGCCCAGCCAAGCGCCACTGCATGGCACCACATGGAGACAATGAGGAACAAAGGCCTTCATGTTCATGCGATTATGCCTCATTTTCAGTTCGCACCCGTACTTTGTGGTTATCTTGAGGTTATCTCGAGATGATTTCGGGGCTTTTTAGTGTCCCCGCGGCCCGGTCCTTGACCAGGCCTCCACCCCCAGGAAGCAGCCTGTGACAGCTGACTAACACCCAGGTATCTATTTTACTGCTAGGTAAGAGGGGCATAGGGTGAAAGAAACTCTGCTCAATGTTTCTCGCCGGCACCTGGGATCGAACCCAGGACCACAGGATCACAAGTCCAGCGTGCTGTCCGCTCAGCTGACCGGCTCCCTGTGTAGATGGGCTTCAGCTCCTGGTCCACAGTGTGCAACGATCCTTCGCCGTGGTGCCGCTGTTTCGTCTCGCAGGACACCAAGTGTACTTGTGTGAAGTGATGGTGATGATTTTGTTGGTGAGGACATGTGTGAAATGGACTTTTTTACTGCACATTTTGATGAGCCGCTCATGGAACATATTGTTCACCAAACGAACATTCACGCGGCTCATCTCACTGAAAAAGAGTTAGCAGAATTTTCACGATTACAGCACTGGAAAAACACTACTGTAGGTGAAAGGTATGTATTTTTTGCACTATGTATGTTGATGAAACATTGTGTAAAATACATCATCTCAGATTATTGGAGCAAAGACCACACTATTCCAACACCTTTGTTCGTGAAATAAATGTCTTGAGAAAGGTTTCAGATACTCCTCAGGTGTCTTCATTTGGCAAATAATGAAGACCAGACACAGGATGATAGACTTTGGAGAGTAAGGCACGTTCTAAATGAACTGACTGTAAAGTTCAGAGATTTCTACGTACCAGCACAAAAGCTGGTGACTAACGAATCCCTTGTGCTTTTCAAAGGACGTGTTGACTTCAAGCAGTATATTCCCTCCAAACGCAACAGATTTAGACTGAAATGCTTTGATCTCTATGACTGTACTCACCTAATTGTATTCACCTAATTGTGCTTGCAGGGGTTGAGCTTTGGCTCTTTGGTCCCGCCTCTCAACTGTCAATCAACTGGTGTACAGATTCCTGAGCCTACTGGGCTCTATCATATCTACATTTGAAACTGTGTATGGAGTCAGCCTCCACCACATCACTTCCTAGTGCATTCCATTTATTAACTACTTTGACACTGAAAAAATTCTTTCTAACGTCTCTGTGGCTCATCTGGGTACTAAGTTTCACTTGTGTCCCCTTGTGCGTGTCCCGCCCGTGCTGGAGAGTTTGTCTTTGTCCACCCTGTCAATTCCCCTGAGAAATTTGTAGGTGTGAAACTGTGAAACAGGATTTGTGCTACACATGATTCTGTATACTGGTAGTAATGTAGACATTCCCGGTAACGACCAACATTGTTTCTCAGGTAGTGTGGTGAAGACATTGATGGCACCATGGCTGAACAAGGGCCACATTTTAATACACATAACTATTATACAAGTCCCTTGCTAACTAGGTTCTTGCTTGAAAATAGAAGGGCTCTCTTACACTGGACTTGCCCTTCACTACTATAGCTTCTCAATACATACTCACAATGGTGCATCAAAAAGGAAACAGCTTTGCAGAAAAGAAATTAAACAAAGATGAACATGGCAGACTCCATGGTTGCAGGCCAAGCAGGAGATCAGGGCTCCAGGAAGAAGTAAAAAGATGTAAGACACCCACCCAAACACCACATAAGCAAGGCAAGGTCATGGGACAAACAGCCAATAATGGTTGGACAACCCAGAGAAGAACCCCCCCAAACAAAAAAGTTGGGGAGAGTAGGAAGGAATGAATAGACTTAACACAACTGTGCAATACTTCCCATTTTCCGACACCTGTACAACTGGGAAAACTTGGGAACACGATGTAACATGTGTCTTGCACTATTTAAATCACTACAATTAGCAACCTTGAGGTTACCTTGAGGTGCTTCCGGGGTTTAGCGTCCCCGCGGCCCGGTCGTCGACCAGGCCTCCTGGTTGCTGGACTGATCAACCAGGCTGTTGGACGCGGCTGCTCGCAGCCTGACGTAGGTAGAAAGAAAAAGAAAAAGCAAGAAAAAGTATTTCTGATAAACCCCATAAAGAACAAGAGTTTAGGCATCAAAGTCAACTTGAGCAATTGTTTGTGTGCACCACAACTGTTGTGTGAAGTAACTGGGGCATACTGTATGTGCTGTGGCTGTCAGTATGTGAACTTTGGGTCAAGGCAAGTACAGAACTGCCTGTAAGGGGCAGCAGGGTAAGTTACTTTTATTGGATACTGAAGTTTCCAGCTTCCACAAGTGTCATGTTTCTTGGTATCTGTGTTCATTCAACTTTTGGAAGTAAATGTCTGGGCCTTTTTATTCTAGTTTTCTCCAAGTACCTTATATAACCGCATGGCTGTTATAGGGCCTCAACAGGCAGTAGCATATGTCTGTGACTCATCGCCCGCATATGTCTTAAGTCAAAACAGTCTAGACACACAGGATGGGAATATGTACGTCTAGGAGCAACAGAAGGAACAACTTCAAAAATTGAAGGGCTAGAACACCTGGTGTATAATTATGACTAAAGTATGCCATATAATTTAAAAAATAAAGTTACTTCAACTAACCATTAGGAACATTTCCCCCATTCAAAAGCTATTATAGGTCATTGGTGTGCCTGGTAATTTAATTCAACCTCGAGTATAGCTTCCACTATCACCAGCTCACTTCCAGAAGTCCAGAAGTTTTCTCCCACAATGATATCATTTGATCTCTTCCTCAAGAATATGTAACTTTAATTGCGATAAGAAAGAAGTAAACGAACCTACCTTTTCTTAACACGAGTGTTGGAGTTATGAAACCCGGCTCTTGGAACATTGAAAATGGAGACCGCATCTCTTGTTTTGGAGTCGTTGGGGACGAATATCTTGCCTTCTTGCTCTTAGTAGTCATATTCTCTGCTTCCAGCTCGTTTTGGTTATTCTCTTGGACATTCCTCCTCTTGTGGCTATTTTGTGGGATACTGAGCACCCTTTGCAACGTGGGACTGTCACGCCCCGAATGTGTCACTACTCCGACATTTAATGTACTTTCATCGCCATCCTTTCTCCTCTTTTCTTCTTTCTCTTCTATTTTTCCATTTCTCTCTGCAGCATCATCCTGCATGCATCTTACTGTGTTGTCATTGTGACGTCTGAGCCGAGCTTGGTCTCGAAGGTACTGAAGCCAATCTCTCCTTGTTTCACCAAGGTCTGTAAATATTTAGGGATTTTGTACATCAAATTACTATACTGTACTATACTTGCTATATATTACATTTCACACCTGAATAAGAGATTAATTGCTGTAGTTGTATTTACAAATAAGGATGTTCTGTAATTTACTAGTAAGTCATGAGATTAGAATAAAGAATGTGCAATACAATACAGTACTCTAATTAGCAAAGATAAAACTAACTAATAGTGGTCAACAACATTTTTCCAAACAAATCATTGAATTTATCAGTCTATTTGCAGTATATATATTCTATGAAAATGGTACTCGATATTAAAGATTAATAAATTTTACAAACAAATAATTAAAAGTACAGTATTAGTATTCACAAAAATAGAACATCGAGCTTAATGAAATGCCCCTTTCTGCGAAATGTCTGTGTGGCCATCTGAAGTGAGCTTTGTCTCCGTAGTTATACAGTGGTACCTCGGAATACGAGTGTCCCTCTATACAAGTTTTTCGGAATACGAGCAGGATTTGCTCGGAAAATTTGCCTCGGAACACGAGTTTGTTGATACACGTACAGGCCGACTAGCGCGTGGTGGCATGGCGATCGCGCCTCAGTTTACCAGTGCCTCGCGCCCAGCGACTATCCCGCCTCAATTCTTCACAAGGATTTACAGTTTTTTTATGTTTTTTTGGCCATTTGAGCCTAAAAGTTGTTATTATATATCTTGCCATGGGTCTCAAGAAAGCCAGTGGTAAGGTTCAACTTAAGAAAATAGCTGTGAGTAGATAGAGGCAGTAGAGGATGTCCCTTCTTGATTAAGAAAATGTGTGAAGTATGGGAAGAACTGCAAAGTTTTGTTGAAAAAACTCGCCCAGATAAAGCTGTAGCAGGCCGTTGAATTGACCGTTTAAATGACAATGTGATGTCTTACTACAGACAAGTGTTAAAATGTAGGGAAAAACATGTGTCTTTAGACAGATTCTTGGTAAGACAAGCCAGTCCTAGTGGTATGCAGGCAAAATGTGCCAGAGTGCACACCAGTGAAGTCCTCACTGCCTGATGTTATAATGGAAGGGGACTCCCCTTCCAAACAGTAACTCCTCTCCTCCTCCCTCCTCCTCCTCACCATCTTCCATACGCCAACAGCAGTCCTCAGCAAGGGTAAGTAATAACTTGAACATAGTTTTGTTGGTTTATTTAGATGAATTAGGTATAAAATTTAGTTTGAATTGAGGTTTTTGGGTAGTCAGGAACAGATTAATTCATTTCCCATTATTTCTTATGCGGAAATTAGCTTCGGATTACGAGTTTTCGGAATACAAGCTGTTTCCATGAACGGATTAAACTCTTAAACCGAGGTACCACTGTACCTGGATGGGGCTCTGGGAGTTCTTCTACTGCCCAAGCCTAGTCCGAGGCTAAGCTTGACTTGTGAGAGTTTGGTGGCCCAGCCAGCTGTTGCTTGGACTGCAGGCCCAAATATCCACCACAGCACGGTTGGTCCAGTCTGTGGTGGTTAGTTGTAAGTTATCCTTTGCTTATGCACTAGCCGAGATAGGACAGACCACAGTAACTACACCAGGAACCTATGAGACTATCCACTGGGCACAAAAGGCATTACAATTGTCTTTGCCCCCCCCCCCTCCCTGGAGCAGAGAACACACATGGAATAGAGATCAACCCAGTACTGAGGCAAGTAATAATTACCAAGAAGCATTAACACAGTATGACTATATAGCACTGTCTACTGCAACAATATTCAAAAGTTCCAAAACATCATTCAAGATGCCAAAGTAGTTAGATTCACTGATGATATTGAGGGACATGGTATACAGGGTACTATAGGAAAAGCAAAATTTCTGAGCATCCTGAAAATCAAGACAGTCAATATCAGATGACAACCAACCATAGAAGGAACAATGCAAGCCTGGCAACATGGTGCACGTCTCTGCTCCATTAACCCTTGCACTGCTCTAATCACCCTGTGGTTGGGCACATGGCTCAAATCACCTGGAGATAATTTTGCACATCACGTTGTTTAAAAGTCATGGCAGGTATTTAATACACATCCCATTCCTAGATAGATCTGGCAATCATCGCCCATATTGAAAACAAATTCTAGGTGCCTTAGTGTCCTTGTGGGCATTAGTAAACAGCTGCACACCATGTCTGGTGCATCAACTTCCAGCGAGCGACCAAGTGCAGCAATCAACTTTGGGGGGAAAATAATTGCCATGAAAAACAGGATTTTGAAGGAACTGGAAGATCCTAAGGAGAGTCAAATACAGTGGAACCTCCAGTGACAAGCAGCTCCAGTTACGAGCATTTCGAGTAACGAGCAAGCCACTCGCAGAAAATATGTCTCGACTGACGAGCTTTCGCTCCATTAACGAGCGTTCCCGCTGATTCTCGGACACCTCCGAAGACAGTTTTGTTGTTGTTTCGCAAGACTAGTTTTCCACATGACGAGCTCGGTGCTAAAATGGATTAAACTCGTTAATCGAGGCGCCAATGTATTACAAGTATTTACCTTGAAATCATCACTCAGATAAAGTAAGATGCTCTAACAGTAAACACAGCGAGGCTGAGGAGTGAGTGGTGATCGGCACAATGTAATACTGACAACAGTGTCATGCTTTCAGGCACAAGTTGGAACATATCTCATGCTACAATATGTGATGCTGCTGTAAATGTGACAATAGTGACCATGATTAAAGTGGTGAGGTGGGGAGAGGTGATCATGGTAACAGTGGTAGCATCATTCATGGTAGATACAACTTCTTTCATATCAAGTGAAGCAAATTTGCTTCCACAAGCTGCTAAGTCTGACGGAAATTGTGATAATGATTTGCACTGAGCATTGTGCTAGTGATGATCATATGCTAGTGATCCGAGTGTTGTAATTATTGAGCAAGCCACATTAATCATGGAGTTAGTGATGATCATATGTGAGTGGTGAGAGTGTTGGTGATCACTGTGTAAGCTACAGTGACCATGGTGTTAGTCATGATCATAGGAGAGTGTTGGTGGTCATCACTGTCGCTTGCACAGTCATCATGGTGGAGGGAAGTGTGTGTTGTCAATGGGAGCCAACTTGGTGGCACAAGCTACTAAATCTGATGAAAATGATTTTATTGTGGTTTTTATTTATTTTGGAATCTTGAATATTATCCATCACAAGATGTAATAAGCTTTTATAACAGGGAAGTCCAGCCGAGGAAGTGTCGAGGGCATGTGGTCACTTGAAGCCACACAATGGACACTTATTCTTTGACCTGCCAAGTGAAGCATATTTGATAGAAGGTTTAATTCTGATGAAAATGGGTCATTGTAATGCTTTATGATCTTGTTGCTAGCAGTGATGGAGCATAGGTGTAAACAACTATTTTTCTCAGTGACAGATGCGAATCCAATCCATGCAACGATATGTAAAAAGAGCACAAAACTTCTTAACTGCTACCGCTGAAACTATGATGGCCTTGGGCAGTTAGCAGCCTTAGGTTGGACCGTTCCATGTAGGAGCTCTCAAAAAACATCACTTAAGCAATAAACTGGCCAAGGACACACTAGGTAGACAGCATAAACACAATTATAAAGAGTAAGTTGGAAGTAAACACAAAGTATAGGTCCCTGTAGCATCATGTTCCAAGGACCACTAACTCCACTGATCTCAAACATTATATATCTGGTCCCAGAAGAGGATCCATGAGTTTCTGAAGTGGTATCAGGCACACAGGTGAGGATGCAGGCAGCTGCACCCCCTAGGTGATCTCAAGTGCCATCTGGAGGTGGTGGTTAATTTAGGGCCATGATAGCAGTGCCAGATGTGTCCTGGCATTCCCATGTAGATTAAAATGCAAAGCGTTGCGGATATACTGTATGTGCATCACCTTTTGGCCGAAAGCTACTGTGCCTTGTGACAGATAAGCACACTAGTACACACACACACACACACTAGACTGGTGGGGATCTGGAGTTCCCTGAAGAAGAGAATGCCCCACCACTCACAAAAAATACAGAGGAAGAATACCAACACCTAGTGATCCCAGACAATAAGGCATTAGGCATTCTGTAGACTCTTCAAGTCTAACAAAGTCACGGCCTAATGGTAGAATAGCAATGACTCATCTCTAACTCAAGCCCATTTGAACAAAAATGCAAAAATGTCTTCCAGTGACCTCCCACAGAACAAGAGTCAAACTTCCACCATACCCCAAGGGAATGGTAGAAGCCCACCATGATCTATCAGCTTCTTGCATCTCTTGCCTTAGCCAGCACTGGACGTGCTGTCTCTGAAGATTCAACCAGAAAATTGGAAATATCTTTCAATGTCCGTGTGACCCCAGGTTATAAGTGTGCCAAGCATACTATCAACTTGACCATTGAAGAGGAATGCCTACTGGTCAAACCTTGTCATGTTGTTCAGCACCCTCAAGGCAGAGCAGTTGTCTCAATATATGTGTGTGTCATCAAGGTTGACTCAGGAGTCCCATCTGGTAATGCACTTGGGTACTAACAATGTTTGTTTACCGTATGCAAACTACCACTTACCTTATTTCTCTCTCTTTATTAAAGATGTGCTTTTTGTTTTGCTTTGCCTTTACTTTCTGGCCAAGTTTACTATACTCATTTTGGGTTGATCTATGATTTTCCATGTTCCCCTCGCCTCTAGGGGTTCCCTAGACTCTGATCTTGGTGTTTGGAAGGCCTGCACGAGTCAAGAGACCTGGGAGTATTATAGACGTCTCTGTGGTACCAGAGTTAATGCACCAGGGAGCTCTTTATGGACCAGCCCAGAAAAGTCACCATGCAATATGAAAACTCAAAGAGTTGACACACCCTGCTAACATGTCCAGTATTATTATATCGTAACACTCAGCAGTTCCTGAGAAACAAGCCACTGAACACTGGAACACCTGGCACCTTTCTCCAGCACCCCTGAAACTTAGCCTCTTGACACCCACGAGGCCAAACATCCAGAAACCATTTATCGTATTCTACGAGTGTTGCCTAATGGGATGGAAATGAAAGGAAATACAATACAGACTATAAAACACATTGCTATACTGTACTGGCAAAATTCCCTTACAAATGGGTGAAATGTCTCACGGCCTGAGACCAGCACTAGGGTGTCCAGACTTGGATGCATGACAAAACCTCAAACAATGCCATTTTTTCTTAATACATCTTTGGGTATTTTACATGTAGCATTCATTCCAGTATCATGTTATATGACAATTACTATTTTAATTCATACTGTTTTTTTTTTCAAAATCAAATCAAATCAAATGTTTATTTAGGTAAGGTACATACATACAAGAGATTTTACAAAGAGTGATGGATTTACAGATAGGGCTAGTACATACAATGCCTAAAGCCACTATTACGCAAAGCGTTTCGGGCATGAAAAACTTAAATGACTAAAGCTTAATACTAATTGAGCATAAAGAATAAAATGTGTTGAGAACAAATAAAAAAAAAAAAAAGAGATAAAAAAGGGGGAACATGGCTGAAAAAGCAGCACAAATACAATTCTGTCGACAAACAGTGCCATTTAAAAAAAAAAAAAAACAGACATTGGTTGACAATAGAGGGGTAAGGTAGGTTACAGGGAATTTATTAGGTATAGCTTCGTTTTTATCTTAAACTGGTTGAAAGAGGTACAGTCTTTAACATGGTTGGGAAGGTCATTCCACAATCTGGGTCCCTTGATTTGTAGAGTATTTCTAGTTTGATTAAGTCGTACTCTAGGAATATCAAAACTGTATTTCTGGTGTGGTGCTCATGGGTTCTGTTACAACCTTCTATGAAGCTTTTGAGGTCAGGATTGGCATTACAGTTCAGCGTTTTATATATGTATAATACACATGAGAGAATGTGCAGTGACTTAATATCTAACATATTCAGAGATTTGAGTAGGGGTACCGAGTGATGTCTGGGGCCAGAGTTTGATATTGTCCTAATAGCAGCTTTGTGTTGAGCAATTAGAGGACGTAAATGATTTTGGGTAGTAGAACCCCAAGCACAAATACCATAGTTGAGATATGGATAGATGAGGGAGTAATAGAGAGTCACCAGGGCAGGGCGAGGAACATAATATCTGATCTTAGAAAGAATGCCAACAGTTTTTGAAACTTTTTTTTATATATTTAGAATGTGTCCCTGGAAATTCAGCTTGTGGTCAATGAGAATGCCAAGGAATTTGCCATCTAATTTGTTACAAATTTGGGTATTGTTCATCCTGAGATTTATTTGATTTGAGGATTTATTGTCAAACAGAATATAAAAAGTTTTGTCAATGTTAAGGGTGAGTTTGTTGGCAGTTAGTCTTTTAAGACGAAAAACCAATAACAATCTAAAGTATTCAAAGACTAGTGACTTCATCCTAAGGCTTATGGAAAATACTTGTCAAGAAATATTATTGTATTTGTAAGTTGCACACACACATGCCCGAGAAGCAAATGTATAATACCATAAACTAACTAATGTTCTGATATAATGTACTCTTCCTTACCCTTTTTCTTCACTTGTTGGTACCAACGATACACCCCAACCGACACCTCACTTCCCATGGCCAGCTCCATTCTCAAAACACTGTAATCAATTATAATGTCATTAACTGAACATAAATAACTTTAATTTAAACAAAATTATTTTTGTATGTACAAAAGCAAACAATTTAGAATATTTTTTGTTCTTTATCATCAGATAATTAAATATTTAAAATCCAAACTTTTTTATAATGGATGTTTTCTAATAGAATTAATTTATATCAGATTAATATATGATTTTTTATCAGATCAGATAAGCCAGTACAGTATTTTTTTTAACATAGCCGTACAGGAACAGGAACAGGAACAGTACAGGAACTGCTGCTAACAAATGTTAGCAGGTTGAGAGCTTCCCCATCCCATAGCTCATGATAAGCCTTACCCACCTGTTTCCCTGGAACACCACCAGCCAATCGGTTAACAACCAGGTACCCATTCACTGCTGGATGAACAGAAGCATACAGTTAAGGATTGGCGCCTAGTCAATCCTTCCCAGCCAGGATACGAACCCAGACCAAGTTGCTCGCGAAGAGCGGGGCTAATGTGCTACCAGTGCACCACAGGGACTGGTAATGAGGTATCACCATCAAACGGCTATATTGCTGTAAGAACATTATCCACTTGGTGGATCATGTTCTTACATGATCTTGGGGTGACACCTCAGTGTCACCATCAAACAGGTGTACGGCTGTAACAACATGATCCACCAGTAACTGTGGTGTCACCATCAAACAGGTGTATAGCCGTAACAACATGATCCACCAGTAACTGAGGTGTCACCATCAAACAGGTGTACGGCTGTAACAACATGATCCACCAGTACTGTAACACCACCATCAAACAGGTGTACGGCTGTAACAACATGATCCACCAGTACTGTAACATCACCATCAAACAGGTGTATGGCTGTAACAACATGATCCACCAGTACTGTAACATCACCATCAAACAGGTGTGCGGCTGTAACAACATGATCCACCAGTACTGTAACATCACCATCAACCAGGTGTGCGGCTGTAACAACATGATCCACCAGTACTGTAACATCACCATCAACCAGGTGTACGGCTGTAACAACATGATCCACCAGTACTGTAACATCACCATCAAACAGGTGTATGGCTGTAACAACATGATCCACCAGTACTGTAACATCACCATCAAACAGGTGTGGGGCTGTAACAACATGATCCACCAGTACTGTAACATCACCATCAACCAGGTGTACGGCTGTAACAACATGATCCACCAGTACTGTAACATCACCATCAACCAGGTGTACGGCTGTAACAACATGATCCACCAGTACTGTAACATCACCATCAACCAGGTGTACGGCTGTAACAACATGATCCACCAGTACTGTAACACCACCATCAAACAGGTGTACGGCTGTAAGAACATGATCCACCAGTACTGTAACATCACCATCAACCAGGTGTACGGCTGTAACAACATGATCCACCAGTACTGTAACACCACCATCAAACAGGTGTACGGCTGTAACAACATGATCCACCAGTAACTGAGGTGTCACTATCAAACAGGTGTAAGAGGGTTACCGTGTACAGGGAGGGAGGAGCAGCACACCTGACAACACCAACACTCAGTGTTTGTGTCCTCCCGCCCCCAGTGTTGTGGAGGCTCGGCCGCAGCGGTGCCACATCTCACCTGCTCAACATAGCGGCTGACGCTCTAAAGTAGCACACTTTTAATAAGAGTAGCCCAATATTTTGTTTAGTGACTGATATACGGTTTTCAAAGTAATATATTTTAATACATAGAGAGCTACACGATTTTAATGATTTTATTATTATTATCTCTGCATATATATAATACAAAAATGTGATAATAGGATATAGCTTACTAATTGTACCGAGTAAACAATTTACTCACTCCAATCTCTCATTTGCTTAATGGCAACTCTCATTAGCACTAATTATGAAGCTCAAATCTTTTCCCCTAATTATAGTTAACATTCTTTCCATTCTTCTAATCTATTGGAGGACGGTGAGGTGTAGTCCAATCATAAAAGCAATCGAGAAGCGATTAATCATCGGCCATTTGGTCACCACTTGGTCCGGGAGACATCTCCCGTCACGCAGGGTGCAGTTGCGCCTCCACAGATCTCCAGTATCATCTTTTGATACTGGTAATGGCTCGAAAGGGCCACCATTTACGGGCTATTCATGCCCGTGCCACCTCTTGGGTGGCTTAATCTTCATCAATCAATCAATCATCGATTAATCATCGGACAGCACCGCTCCTGTGCCAGGTAAGTTACGGGCTCACCATAGCCCGTGCTACTTGGAACTTGTTCCGAGTATCTGAATCTATAACAACAACAACGATTAATCATCAATATAATTTCCACAATGGTTCAGTTAACTTAAGTGCAGACGCTTCGGAGTTACCACACCTCTTGACCCTCAAGATTGTAGCACTCGGCATATGCTACATTCTTGTAGCATATGCAGGCGTATGTTCTAATTGACCTCAAGACGCTCCAGCTTCGACACAGAGCAGACTATTGCTGTCAATATGACTATAAATTTCCCTAAGCTTAGACAGGTCAGCTAGTATAATGGAAGTTCTGAAGATGGTGGCCGTGTGTGGCTAAGGATATGCTAGCTAACAGATTTTCCACCTTTTTGTAAGTTTCAGCATTACTAGAAATACGGGAAAGAAGCTCGTTGCAGGCTTTCGCTAAAAAATTATAGCATCTTGAGTATTTTGAAACTTTTCCTGGGGTCTTAAAGTTGTTTTGTCTGTTAGTGGCCAGAAAATTCGTAAGCAAAGTTCACTTTCTCCAGACGCAGACATGGAAGTGTGGTACAAATTAACATGAAGCTTTGCATGATTCTTCAGGCTAAGCATTTCAGGTGCGAAGTTTCCTAAGTCAGTGTGAAGGCTACACTGATCGGCTTCATCTTTTTTATAAAGTAAATTCATCCTTTCAAAATCATCTAGGACTGGGTTCATAAATGTGAAATTATAGCTTATTGACGGGATCAGAGTACATTGAAAATAGTTGCCTTGCAACATAGTTAACACAAGAGTAAGAAGCGATGAGGATGGGATTTGTACACATCACATTATAGAAGCATAAATAATCATCATTGACTTCTTGACATCAGTAGCCCAAATTGTTTTTAAAATAGTAAAAAAAATCGCAAGTAGCGAAATTAAAAAGTTTGGAGCGCAAAAACTTGGTAGCGAGAAATGAAATGCTACCAAAAAGGTAGCCTAATTCGCTACTTGTAGCCCAAACTGGCAACACTGGTGTGCCGCCCGCCACCAACACCAACGTGTTCCGGTCGTTGCCTCACTCTCACGCTTTTGTTACTCATTTATGCTTACAATTAAATTTACAGCAATATTTGTAATTTATAAACATATGTTGCTGTTTAATTTGAGAACAGATTGTTTTGTTTAACATTTCCTTTTTTATTTGTTGTGATTATGAGGTTTTGTTGTGTTGAAGACACAGTTTGTAGGATTATACAAACACTTATTGCTAATGCAGGATTATGTTCCTTCAAGTTTTATTCATATATTTTCAAAATCATTTAAATTATTACATTTAGAATATTAAAAGGCCACTAACATATTATTACTTTATTTATTATATAAAATATTCTATTATAAACCATAATAGAAGCAACTATTCCTTACCTTTGAGTTTTTATACAGTAATATGAACCCGCCCATAACTTTCTCCCAGACACATATTATAATTCCAAAATTCAAATGTTTATTCAGGTAAAAGTACATACATAGGAGATGAGTTATAAACATAATGTTGGATTTATAGATAGAGGTAATACATACAATACCTAAAGCCACTAATACGCGCAGTGTTCGGGCAAGGTGTGGGGGGGAAAAAAAAGATACTTAGACTTAAACTTGCCCGGGCATTAGTAGTTGAGATTAACGTATAAATTGTGTTGAAAAGATGAATAAAAATAAATTAAATTAAAAAAATAATAATTATACCTGAGTTTACCTGAGTCACTAACACTAGTGACCTCGCCGAGGACAGAAAGCCGGTGGCTTGTCGAAGGTCCCCACATTTGCCTTGATGATTCTTTCCAGCTGTACTTTAAAAGTTAAAAGTTTTTTTTTGGCATTTACGGCTTCGGTGGGAAGATGGTTCCATGGGTTAATAATCCTATGGGAGTAAAAGCATCTGCTGTTCTCAGTCCAGCATTGTGGCTTGTTGAGCTGGAACCCGTTACTCTCTAGCGAGTAGATTATCCCAATAATATACTCGCTCCAAATGCAGTGTTAATATTCCTGTCAACCTTTGGAGATGAGGCGTTGATTTGAGGCGTTGCCCGGGCAACACGGTGAGGCGTTGTCCGGGCAACACGGTGAGGTGTTGCCCAAGCATATAAGCAGCAGAATAGCAAACATTAACTAGTCTACTTTCAAGTGTGGTCTAGAGCAGACACTTGCAAGATACCGTACCGACTCTCAGTGCGCTCAACTCACACCATTGCTCGCCAAGGTATCACCTGCATACTTCTGTTTACTCGACTAAATATATATATATTCTCTTAGTGTCTGTGTTTATTGTCACCATACTTTACGTAACAATAGAACCGTTACAACTCCTTGTTTGTGTTACATCTGACCTTTAAACGAAGTTGTCCGGATTAACATCCTCCAAATTGTTCAGTATTTTAACAGTTTCAATAAGATCCGCCCTGTCATGCCTGGCTTGCAGTATCGTTAACTCTGTGGCCCTCAACCCTTCCTGATATGAGAGATGACTTCCCTCTGGAATGACACTTGTTGCCCGGTGTTGCACTTTCTCCAGAGCAGTTATATCCTTCTGAAGATGAGGTCTCCATGCTTGGATACAGTAATCCAAATGGAGGCCCACCAGAGATTTATACAATTGAATCACTACCTTATTTTCCTTAAAGTCAAAGGTACACTTGATTATTCCAAGTGTTTGGTTAGCTTATTTGACAGCTGTTCCTACCAGCTGTACAACTTTCATTAAGTGATGGATTTTGACTCCAAGGTCCTTTTCTT